GTGTGGGGGAGGGGGTGGGGCATACGAACAGGCTGCGACAGTTTCTGTCCACCGCTGGCTGGAAGAGTCGGCGAGACGCTCGCCGTCGTCGCGCGATGATGGGTGTTGAGTGCGGGCCCGCTGCCCTCTCCTGGTGCTGCCCGAGCGCTCTCAGCGCTGGTGACGCGAAGTGACGCTGTAGCGCGCGCTGGCGCTGGTGGTGCGCGCTCCCTCTCCTTGAAGATGCACGAACGCGCCCGTGCTGGTTCGCCGACAGCAGTTCTCTCCACTGCTGGATGAGCTGCGCCGGCACGCGTTTGCTTGGCGGTGCTGGCCGCGCTCTTTCCGCTGCTGATTGAGCCACGTTGCACGCGCTCTCTCTGTGGAGATGCTGAGGTTGTTGGTGGCTGACCAAGCTTTTCCGCTGCTGGATGGCTGCTGCACGCTCTGTCTGTTCGTTGGCAGCAGCAGGCTTTCTTCACTGCTGTAGCAGCTGAGTCGGCACAACGCTTGGCCGCTGGTTCGTTGACTCTTTTGTTTGTTGGCGCTGGACGCTCTGCTTTTCCGCTGCTGGATGGCTGGCACTTGATGTAGGAATAAAGTTTTGAGTGATACTTTACCTTTCGGCTCTGAACTACGCTCGTTGATACATCGCAACTCAGCGATCCTCGCTACTCAGCGAGGCTCGCGCTCCTTGGAGCCAGCCGTTAGCTGCGACTGCTCGTGTCTTGTCGACTTCTTGAACGTTGATCCGTCTTGACTGAACTTTTGAAAGATGCTCAGCCGTTATATTCAAAAATAATTCTCCGCTCCACGCAGTGAAGGGGGGGGGGGGGGTCTGTGTGTGTGTGTGTGTGTGCGTTCGTGTGTGTGTTCATCACCATCTGTGTTTTACAATTCTGGAGGGGAGGAGGGGGCGACCCTCTTCCCTTGACTGGTTTATTACTGTTTATTGTTCATCTCCTGGATTTTCTGGTTTAATGGCCCTGTTACAATGGGCATCTGGTTTTCTGTGTGGCTGGATTACGTGTTTGATTAATTATTATTTTTGTCACTTTAAAAAATGATATATATAACGGCAAATATTATTGTTAATCTTAATTTAGGAAAAGGCTCGATATACAACATTGGCCCAGCAGTGACATGGCCCAGCAGTGACACCACAGCCGCCACGACCACCAACTCAGCATCAAATGAATACCTGTAGCAAAGTGTAAACATCACCTTCGGAGAAAGGCGGTCGTGCGTGGTGGTAGCCACCCATCCCGTGTACCGTGCCGGCCTTCATAAGTACTCGCTAACACCACTTGTCTCAACAGTCTGTTAAAGGCTATTCGGGGAATGTTTGCCTTTGTATACCCCTGTGTCTGTGTGTGCGCACACGTATGTACATGTGACCGTGTGTGGGTAATGACGTGTCAGTTGATGCTTTTAAAGGTTAAATGGGGATCGTTGTGTTTGTGATTTTCAGCCTCCGAGTGCTTCGGTACCCTCATGTTCATGGCTCCGGAGGGGCACCTGGGCTACTCGTCCACCTGCTCAGCGGACATTTGGGCTCTGGGTTGCACGGTGGCGGAGATGGCAACCGGAACAGCCACCTTTGACCCCATGAACTTTGATGACCAGTTAGTGTGCTGCATGGAGGTACTGCCCACACAACACTTCACTCGTGAATGATAATAGATTCTTGGTCACGTAATGATTTGGGAATATTTTTACCTCCATTTTCTGACACAGCCAAACATAATAAATTGTCGTGCACGCACAAACTTAAACAGCAACTTGCTGTTTAGGCTCACCACCAGTAAGTTGAAGAACAATTCTTCCATCTGCTTTGGTTATTTCGGTAAAGTCAAGTAGAATGAGAATAAAATAATAAAATAACACAATTAAATTCTCACGACGTTTCGACCACAATGCAAGCGATGAATCCTTGCAGTCACGAAAGCTTCAAATCGAAACAATTCTTCCAATCAAGTTTAGAAATTAATTAGCTTTTATTTGAAGCTACATCCAGCACACTTGCAGGACCATAACTCGTGCACACAATGGCCTACTCCTTTCAAATTACGTCATGGGATCATTACATCCACTGCGAATAAAGCAGATGGCACGTAGTAGTTTACGGTTTGTACACATCGCAAGTAAAAACTGAGTGGCTGGATTTGAACCAGGAACCTCCGGCAGAGGAGGCAAACGTGCTACTTCTGGGCCAAGGCGTTACCACTGCCCTGCACCTGTAAGGGAACCGTGGGGAGTGGTAGCATAGTGGTTAGTGAACTGTGCTACCAACCTCGTGACCCGAGTTTGATTCCCGCTTACCACCAAGAATGTTGACAAATACCTGAAATGGACATCGGCCAACAGCGTTAAATAATCATGTGGCGTTAATAAAGTATTAAAGCTTTTGTCACTCCATAAAATGACTCATTGGTTTTTTTGGTAAAGTAACGTATGTAGAAATACGTGACTTTACCGAAAAAACCAATGAGTAATCATGTGGCGTGTCAAGTACCTATTGCTATGGGGCCCATCCTCTAGTGTGCCGCATTGGCCTTAATAGGTGCTTACTAAAAGCACTTGTCACAATAGTCAGTTACATTTATACGAGGCATCTTTGTTTTTTGTGTGAACCGTGCGTAGGTCCTGGGGCTGCCTCTGGACGACTTGGTGAAAGCCGCTCCTAGAGGAAACAAATTCTTTTGTAAGTTGAAGGGACAAGTTGACTGGATTACGTTTGAGGGGGTGCCCCAGAACTGTTATATTTTTGGGGGACTATCTTTGCACATGGTTCGTCATAGATTTTCCGGCAAAGCCACGTAATGATATGACCGTTTGTGTCGTTAAGATCTTCTGACACCCGACATAGGCAAACAAATGAAAGTTGAATGTGTAAAGTGTTTCACGAGCCAACTGTTCTTCTTTTAGCTTAACCACCCCCAAATATTTCAACTTCGATTTGTACAACCCACTTTCGCAATTAGATGCAACTTTTCACTTGAAATTGCATCAAGCATCATCAGGGCAGGATGCAAGAAGTCGGACTGAAATCCAGGCAGTTAGCCTTGAAATGCTTGTACATCTGACAATTGGGTCCTACAGCAGAAAATGTGGCTCAGTCATTAAGCGGCCTGACCCAAAAATCGATCGTAAATCGTGCATATGCTCCTTTGTCGTACCAGCACTCATGCCAGATGATGCCAAACATTCCATTTTAAATGTATGGTTTATTACTATAATTAATCATTATCATAATAACAGAGCACATTTGATGTGCCATTATTTTAGCATGAGATGAGCTGGAATGAAGGTGCTGCTGTATTTCAGACGGTCTGCAGTAGTTTCACAGTCGTGGGCGATGTTCCATTATACTTCTAATGGAGTAATTTTCAATTTCATTTTTCACATTGGGACGCAATGGCCGACTATATTTAAATGACGTCGCGGGATCTGGAACGTCCACTGTGAAGCAAACAATGCGAATTTTGTTATGGTCAATACACCCTACAAACTTCTATAACAAGCAGCAAAATTGCTACCGCTGGGCCATGGCATAGTGCTACAGCATCACACTGTTGCGGCATCGCTGCCGGTGTGCAAGGGCTAAGTAGGTTGTGTGACTGTTTCTCCTGTCTGTGCGTGCTACCTGTAGAATCCGACAAGCAGCCAAGGATGTTTGGTTGCCATCGAGTGCACGGGAGTCGCCCGCTCTGCATGCTGCTCGCAAACTACGGCCTGGAGTTTGTGGACTTCATCAGCAGCTGCCTCCAGCAAGGGCCCCTCTCCCCCACAAGGATTCTCGCATCGGTCACTCTGCTCTAAATGATGAGCGACCGCTCTCCTCTAGAAAATAGCTCCATCCCTCTCAAGCAGAATCAGAAGCCCTATCATTGTATAGACTTACATGATCCATATACTTACAGAGAGACCTAGACTCTTATCGTCTTCGAAGCCAAAAGTCCACAATTGCTCATATCCGCAACCACATCCCTTGGCGTTTCCCTCTTGGCTAGACCGCAGTAGCGCTCGGGAATGAATGAAATGTGATGTACGGTGGTTTGCGTTGCCGTAGAATTTAGGCGAGCGCCCTGTGCAATGCAATAATGATTTCAAGGTGGGACAAGGATAATAGATATAATTGGGGAATGCAGACCGCTGCTTTTATTATTTTATTGACGTTTGCTTACCTTTGAAAGCCTCACTGAGCCTCAAGACTCTTTTTCAGGAGGGTCCTGCCAAGTTTGCGGTGTAGGAGGCGATGATTTCTACGTACATTCCAATCGAGTAAATTTGAGGGATGCCATGCTTCAATGTCACGGTGGTGTCAGATGTAACACTTCTGCTTTAGTTTGAAGGCGTCGGTGGGCCCACACGGTGAGATTGGCCGTGGGCCCCACACCCCCTATGGACGGCCCTGCTTACAAGCAGTACATTCTTTAGTCTAATTTTGACCGTGATGTCAGCACACAATGGCCAACTATTGCAAATTACATGACAGGATCTTTAATATTTTCTATGAAGCAAACAGCGAGTATTTTTAGGGTTCACACACCCGTTGCATTAACCAGGACGGCCACTGGATTTGCACTGTGACCCCCTGCAACACACAGCAAACAACATGCTAATGCTGAGCCCCGTCACTGCTGGGCCATGTCACTGCTGGGCCATGTCAAAGTAGAGATGAGCTCATGTGGCATTGGAGGATGTGGAGCTGGTTGGACTTGGCAATGAATGTTACCAGCGGCGTTGAGTTCAGTTTCGATAAATACGACACAGCGAAATGCCAGGCAAGGTGCACTTTGAAGCTAATTGGCAGTTGGATGGAAGTCGCCACTCAGCAACAACAGAAGGTGGAGGAGCAACGCTCACAATGAGCAGAGCACCGAGCGGCTAATACGCAGCAAAGTTGCAGGATGGGAGCACAGGTGGTGTATCTGCCATTGATCACAGCAGCAAATGGTCAATGATGATGATGATTTTGGCGATCATCACCAAACTGGATGACTGCTACTACTGCTGACATTAGTTCTTGGACCCAGTGGGAGGAGACGAATGTAAACCCTCCAATCATCATCACTCACGGCATGTGCCGCGTCTGTCTGTGTGTCTCAACAGATGGATCCCGGCTTTTCGGATGACACCGGAGCAGGCGCTGGCACATAAATGGCTGCAGGATATCGGCACGGGTGAACCCGGGCAACCCGGAGCAGCTGCAGTTAAAACCACAGCGACCACCACCACCACCACCGCCGCTGCCACCACTATCACCACTACAACCATCACAACCACTGTTGCCGGCATCACCACCACATACACCACCACCGCCACTGCCACCATCACGGTCGTCGCCACCGCTAACCTGGGACTGGTCTCGCTGTGCGACAGGAAGAACGACGGAACCTCTGCAGCTGCTGTGCCACGGTAAGCCGCTCTGCGTGTGTGTCCTGTGTGTTGATATTATTACTTATTACTTTCCTTAATTACCAAGGAAGGCCCTATTGTGTCTTAAGATGTTGTGAATGTTGCAAAGCAAGGTAAAAATGCAACGGGGATATTTCACGCACGGATGATCGGGAGTTGTGACCTTGTAGAGTAATAACAAACGATAGACGGGATATGAAATGGTGTCGTGTCTGTCCCTTCACAGGTCAACTCCTGCGCAGCCCTCACTCATCCTGGCCTCTGCAGCGAAGACGGAGATTGCGGAGGAGAGCATGGAGGAGAAGACGGAGTTGGTGGAGGAGGAAGGGGAGGTTGAGGGGAAGGAGGAAGAAGGGGAGGAAGAGGGGAAGGAGGAGAAGCTCGAGAAGAAGCTGGGGAAGGCGGAGGAGAAGACGGAGGCCAAGACGGAGCTGCTGGTGCAGGAGACGAGAGAGGAGAAGAGGCTGCTTTGTGGTGGAGTGTCTGTGGTGCCACCGCGGTGGAGCAGCTCCGTCGGGGACCGTACCCACCGCCATGACACCACCACCAGGGGGTGACAACGCCGACGTGGCGCGCCTCGCCCCCCCCCCCACCCCGCACGAACGCACACACACCCCACATAGAGCCGGGAAGGGAGGTCACCTGGCCGACAGGTTTTTATCCAGAAGCCCCTAATGGGATCAAGCTTCATGGTTTCCTGCGGCCGGGAAATTGGGCGATCTCCCCCCGTAGCTGACGCGCACCGCAACGCCGTGACCTGATTTTAAAATTACGTGGTCACGGCGGAGGCCGCAGAGCCACCGCGGATGAAATCACGCACACACGGCACGGGGCGTGGGAACGGCGGTACGCCTTTGTCATAGGTGGAATTAGGGACTCCAATAACAGTGATACAGGAGCATTCCGAAATCTGAATGGACAAGGCAGCACGGGGTGCGGAAGCATCCGAATGCCTTTTGTTTTAGGTAAGATCACGGATCCGAATGTGAAAGAGACGAGAATAACTCGGCCTCTGAATGGACAGGGCAGGCGCGGGTGCGGAAGCATCTGAATGCCTTTTGGGTGGATCAAATACGGAGGCTTAGCATAGCAAGAGAGATTTCTTCTGAAAATCATCGCGGTCCACGGAGCAGCAGAGTCAGCCGTTCGTGACGTCCGTGTGACGAGCTCCAGCGCAGCCAGGCTCAACCCTCTACGGAGACGACCCACAGCCTCGCCCGTCTACAGCGTTCAGCGCAGCAGAGTGGAAGTAAGCACAAGTGAGAGAGAAGTGAGTTTGAGAGATTTAATCGAGAGTGGGGAGCGGTGCGGTAGGCAGTGTGAATTGAGCCTATGATTCCCGAAGGATAGGCTAGGGGGGCCTGCTGACTCACACAATCACACGTAGTTAACGGGTTACTCGCGGTAAATAAAATAACTGGTAGGGGGACAAACTGGGTCGTGTGGTCTTTTGGAGGGTGAAGAGGAGGGTGGAGAGTGTTTTGTGTTTAAGCGCATACGCGGCTGTTTACGGGGGTGTTTAGCGCTCACGTACCCGTGCGGCTGTTTGCGGCGAATAAGGGAGTCTAGCGCTTAGCGCTCGCGTGCCTGTGTGACTGTGTTGCGGTCGCGTGTCTGCGCGATTGCCTATAGCGAGGTAGCGAGCTAAGCGCCTGACGTGCGCGTATTTGCGCGGCTATTTAAACAGCCCTTTAAATCGGAGTGGAGCGACTCCCCCCAGCACGCGCACAGCAAACGCCCTGCCCTCCCACCCCTCGTCCCCAACCCCCTCGCGTGCGATTGGTGTACGGGGCTGGGCAGGAAGTGGCGGCATGTTGGTTATTGCCGGAGCGCGTAGAGCGTAGGTGTGAGGGAAACGCGCGTCGGCGCACCGCCCCTGTTTGTTTACGTGCGGCACGGGTTTTTTACTTGCGAGCACACTCCCCGCGGCACGCCGCCACTGAACGGCGTAGCGCGCCGCAAGCATAAAGCGTACCGCCCCGCTAATTGAGCCATGCCTACGAAATCAGCGACACAGTCAAGGGCACAGGGGGGCAAGGAAGTGGGGGCCGGTAGCCCGGACCCGACAGAGCAGCCGGGGGATAGTGGGACAAATGTAGCGGGGGAGTCAGGAGCCAACGGCCCCGACAATTCGGTGATGGCGGGGGACGGTAGCCCCCACATGTCCACCGCAGAGTAGCCATGACGACGCAAGGGGTGGTGATGATAGATGTGTATTAGTATCATCACCACCACTATCACCACATACACACACTTCACCCTCTTCCCATCCCAAGATATACATACACACAACACACACATACACACCGCATGCCCATATACACACCACACACGCACATACACACCACACACACATGGGCTGCTAGGCCTTGCCATGGCTGGTCATCCGGGTTTCACAACCCAGCCAACCCAGCCTCGCTTGCCAGAGGAACTCACCAATGTCCAGAACTTTCAAGGATCTGTGAGCTCCTGGAACTGTAATCCGGCCTGGTTAATCCCAGGATGGATCACAGGCAGGACACCCTGAACGTTGCAAAATGGCGCAGACGATCCTTGGGAGCAGCCAGTGCCGAACCAGCAGTGGCACAATGCTCATCAGCGGACGCAAGCGATGAACCAGGGGACGATTGCAACCAAGAAACGACACCCCACACATCATACTTTATTGTTATTATTGTAATATACGTAATGAAATTAACTTGTAAATATACATTAAACAATGTTGCCTTGTTTGCTGATGTGGCCTGGGTTCAATGTGTCTTGGCTTGTGTTGTAAGGTGTCTTGGCTCTTGCCAGGTGATGGGAGTGCATTATGGGTGTTGGTCGGTGGGTTTACACTCTTGGTCGGTTTTAGGAGCTGATAATTTGACCCGGTTAATACGACAAACACCTTTTGTGTTGTTGCTTTTTTAAAAAGTCACCTGGTCGATTACATGTAAATAGGCTGATTTCTGCATATACGAATTTTATTCACGATTTAGCCCTCTTCTATGATGTAAATCTGGTCGTTATTGGACAGCGATTGGAGATGCAATTGTATGAACGGTGCTAGATAACATTTTATTATCATTCTTGTAACGTGAGAACAATATAACACCTAGCACTCCGGACTCTTTCCGTACTCTTCAGACTGTATTCCCTGTTCTTTGCCAATATCCACGTTTCTGATTCTATTCATGCCATGCAGATCTCATAGTTTTAAAATGAATAAAAAAAATAATTACATAAATCAATTAATTTCCCAGACGTAAAGAAGGCAGTAATAGGGTTTAAGCATAGATCACTGGAACCCTCACGTTGACCCCAACACCCTGGCTGCCCGTGCTATCACAATCTCTCCCCACCCATCCACCACAATGCTGCAACCCTCCGGGAAGTCCTGTAAATCCAGGGAAAAAAAAAATAACCTTCCCATTCACCAGGACCTCAATAACGTACATGGTTATCGCTTGAAGTCACGCAAGCCCTGTTGGACCCATGCGCTCAACCTTCAGCGATGCGAGTTCAACCCCAATGAAGCTTTAGAGAGCTGGATGGCGTTCAAAACTCACAAACACCTTGTGAAAGACCCAACACAGAATCCCTGGTTTTGATCTTCCACGAAGTTCAAAGTCCCCCCGAAACGGCATCCGTAAAAACCATGACAGATCCAGATACATGATGCACAAATCGATCAATCAAACTGCGGTGTGCGACTGTGCAACATGTACAACAAGTGGCGACGCGATGGCCGATCCACAAGTACGAAGGAGACATCACAGCGATACACTCCGCTGCCCCTGACGAGGTTATCTGGCTTGACCACCTGGATGTGAAATTGTTGCTCTGCATCAGCCATACGAAACAAGAAAGATGCGTATATCAAAAATTCTCTGTCAAACCTTGGCAAACAAAAATCGTTTATTACATAGTTGCATCAAGCTTGCAATATGTAATTAAACAAACACCCAATCATGACCTTGTAATACAAAGATCCCCCATTTAGCCTTAACAGACTGTTGGGGCAAGTGCTGTTAGCAAGCACAACTTATGGCCGGCACGGCACACGAGGGGATGGGTGGCCAGCACCACGCCCGACCGCCTTAGTCTCCCCGGTGCCGATATTGGCACACCACACCAGGAACTCATTTGTGTCTGAGTTCACCTAAGAGGAGGCGCAGGACTGGTTCAGATAATCATCACTGGTGTTGGGCGTGAGTGGGCATCGAACTTTGTGGTGCCAGGTTTGTAGAGCAGTGAGTTAACCACTGCGCCTCCGCTCCCCCTTACCTGGTAATAGGACACACACACTAACATACTTCAACTGAATTATCAGACGCACCCAATGAAAGTTAAACAAATCTGCTCACATAACAACAGCCACCATTCGTCACTAAGTGGTAGCGATATCACGACAGCGCTTGTGCCAGGCTAAATGCACGTTGAAGCCACGTGAAGTGCCCAAGGCCCACTGACAGGTCAGGGAACAGTCCCAGGTGTTGTGGGTTAACTGAGATGGCTGGCAGATGCACCACCCTTGCTCCCCACTGTGCCAACTCGCTGAGTCTTAACCACCTGGAGAGCCTTTCGTTGTTGTGAGCGTCGAACCTCCGCCCTCCGCTGTTGTTGGAGGGCGACTGCCTCCAACTGCCCAGCAGCGTCCTTCACGAGCCTGCCTCCACGCGAGCCTGATCACACACACACGCTTACTGGAGCACAAACACATTCCTGCGGATGGAGCTGGTAGGAACGTTGGGTTGCTCGGTCAATGGCCAGGGTCAACGGCGGGGTGGTGTATTCCGCAAATATGCCCGACTGTGAGGGCGGGCACAAGCCGGCGTGAGTAGGTTAAATGTTGAGTTTTATAAGGGCACCACGGGGTGACCAGCTCCTCCCCACCCAGCCCCACCCCTCCCACCCCCCACCCAGCCCCTCCCCTCCCTCCCCACCTAACCCCTCCCCACCCAGCCCCTCCCCACCCTCCCCACCCAGCCCCTCCCCACCCTCCCCTCTCCACCCAGCCCCACCCTCCCCACCCAGCCCCTCCCCACCCTCCCCTCTCCACCCAGCCCCACCCCTCCCATTTTTGGATGCACGACGGACAGACGGACACAATAATCCCCTGTGGCCTGGTGTAACCAGGAGGTTCCTACCAGTATCATCCATGAATGGAGTTGGTACACAGAGCTTGGGTAATTGTTGGCGCCGGTTCTGCCCGCCTTTCCAGCGTGTCTGTGGTTTCCTACAACTCTGAATCATTCTCTCTACTCTTCATGAGTGAGGTGAAATCTAAACGCATTCCACACAATAACTATTCAATTATAAGATGCACTCTCAACCTCTGTTTTACAGTGCAGGGGAATAAACGTGAGTCTTATGATTCAGAGAATACGTTGGCAGAGTGCAACCGCTGTTTGGGAAACATTAAAATTCACTCCAGATACCACGGCAGATGGGTCAGTGTGTTTGTGCCGTCTTCACAACCGATGTTAAACATTGAGCCAACTTTTTGAAGAAGACCGCTTCTGTTGCGATCGAAACGTCGTGGGTTTTTGTTATTTTAATTTGGATTTTTGTTTTCTATCTACATGACTTTACCGAAAGAACCAAGAATATGAATTCATGCAGTCACGAAAGTTTTCAGTCTAAATCTGACCATACGAATTTATAAAGGAGGGCTGATCCTTCAGCTGAGTAGAACAACACGGACGCCCAGAATAAACGCCTCGATCGAGACCCACAGCATCGCACCTCCTGGCTCAAACATTCCTCCTCGCAGACACTGGCGGTGCGATCATCAGCCGAGTCAGAACATCACCAGGAGGCCGTTGCGTCCATCTCCCTCGCCAATGTAACGTTAAAAACGCGAGCCACAGCAGTGCGACTGTGGCCACTGCAACCCAGACTATGTACAGTGAGTGCAGTGTACTCACTTTAGTCTGCGCTCCGTCAACGGAGGAACAGCAAAACGACACGAACTCTGTCTGCTGAAGGTCTCCCGTCGCGAGGAGCAGACGCTGACGTCGGCATTTAGTTCCTGAACATATTGCCAGACACAAGAATGGAACGGACTGCGTGAGTCTTCTTTGGTTCTTTCGGTAAAGTCACCACCACGTAGAATGAGAATAAAATAATAAATTGATAAAATAAAATAACACAATAATATTCTCACGACGTTTCGGCCACAACACAAGCGGCCTTCATCAGGTGAAGGGACGAGACTGTCTGGTAGGACCGCTGGAGTGAAAGAGCCACGTTCAGATCACGACCTTTAAGCTGTGTGAGAGGAACAAAGCGCCTTGACAAAGGAATTAGCATATCATTTAGCATTGAAATGGCTGAATGATTAGCTTGTGACTGGTCACAGAAATAGTTATGTTAAAAGTTAAAGCATACACATCCGCAGAGGCACCCCTTGACAATGGAATTAGCATAGAATTTAGCATTGAAATAGCTACGTTAAAGCATACACATCCGCAGAGGCACCCCTTGACAATGGAATTAGCATAGAATTTAGCATTGAAATAGCTGAGTGATTAGCTTGTAACTGCTCACAGTAATTGGACTGCGTGAGGTTATGGGTGCAAGTGTAGGGGCTGTCTCCGCAAGTCTGTGGGTCTCTAAGCGAGTCTGGGGATAGGCAATTATCTGGGTCGGTACGTGGGTCTCTATATGAGTATATATGGGTTTCTAATATATGTACATTAAGTCAATGGTATCAGGGCAAGAGACCACTCTGATAACACGCGTTGTCTGGTCGGGTAAAGTATGAGTCCTGCCACATTTTTCCAGGATGTCCCACCTATTGGGGGGGGGGGGGAGGTCCAACATTTGTGACGATGTGTGACGAGGGGGTGGGGGGGGGGTTGAGAAATGTGACGTCACATCAAAATGCGCAACTTTAAATAAATATAAACACGTTCTACTTAATAAAATTGACTTTTTAATAAATATTTTCTCCTACAACATCAGAGTGCAGCGGCACATTAAATACGCACTACAATGACAATAGTTTAAAGCGATTTGAAGCATGTTTTATATATATATTTTTTTGGGGGGGAGGGCAGAGCTTTGTGACGTCATATTTGAGGGGGGTCTGACTTTTCGTGACGCCGTGTGACGATGGAGGGTGGGGCGTCAAAAATCGTCGAAAATCACGTGACATCATTTATGGACGGCCCCATATTTCATCAGGTAGAATGTTTTTTTTAGGCTGAGTCGACCTATAGGGAGGCCCAGGAACGGTTCAGATCGTCTCCAATGATCGAGTATTCTTCGTCCGTATGGCTGAAGCAGATGCAAAGCCAACAACTACAATTTCACATTCAGGTGGTCAAGCCAGAAAACTGCGTCAAGAGTAGCGGATTGTATCCCTGTGAGTTTAACACGTAGGCTTTCGCGACCAATATCATCCATAACACGTACGCTTTCGCGACCAATATTATTCATAATAAAGGTTTTTGGGTTAGATCGCGTTATTTATAAATGTGACGCAACCCTCCACCACCCGACACGGCCAATCAGTAAAAAATGTGTCATGTTAACAAAAGACAAATAAATTTCGATTCAAAGCTTTCGTGACTGCAGGGATTCATCTTCTGGGTTCTTTCGGTAAAGTCACGTAGAATGGGAATAAAATAATGAAATAATAATAACAGAATAAAATTCTCACGACGTTTCGGCCACAACACAAGTAGCCTTCCTCAGGTGAAGAAACAGGACTGTCCAGAAGACAGCGCTTGAGTGAACACTGCCAAGCATGGACAGCGTCTTTTAAGCTGTGATTGTATTTTACGGTGACTTTCAGACTGCAGTCCATTCGCTGGCACTGCCTATTAGTACCTATCACACGATGGTCAATAGTATAGTTTATCGCATTTGTATAATAATAAATAGAATAACAGTGTAATGTTTAACATAATTCATAAGGCAATATATAGTACCGTAATTGTATAGTGAATATACAGCAGTGTGGTATACAGTAGGGTTAATAGAATAATACATAGTGTAATACTACAAGTCTAATATTTTATAGTCTAAAGTATAGTGTAGTGTATAGTAACGCATTGTATAATTCAAGGGTGGGAATTGTCTATGGATACGATATTATACAATGTAGTTTAGATTGGAAGGTATAATATTTGTAATGTATAGTAGTCCAGTTTATGGCATAGTTATAACGCAACACAGGACAGAGCAGCGCACCGTGGCTGCTTCCTCTTCCCCCCACCCCTCCTCCGTTCCGAACATAGATGGACTCGTCCGTCTGAACACAAGCTCGTCGTTCTCCGTGGTGTTAATCCCTCATACTAACATCATGCTAATCCCCCAGTTACATGCTAATTTACTGTTGATATGTAAACTGCTGCCAATCCCTCACACCAACATTATGCTAGTCCCCCAGTTACATGCTAATTTATATGTAAACTCCTCTCCCCTCGTTCGTCTGAACATAGCTCGTCGCTCTCCGTGGTGCTAATCCCTCACACCAACATCATGCTAATCCCCCAGTTACATGCTAATTTATGTTAACTCCTTTGTCAAGGCGCCCTGTTCCTCCCACACAGCTTAAAAGACGCTGTCCATGCTTGGCAGTGTTCACTCAAGCGCTGTCTTCCAGACAGTCCTGTTTCTTCACCTGAGGAAGGCTACTTGTGTTGTGGCCGAAACGTCGTGAGAATTTTATTATTTTATTCCCATTCTACGTGACTTCAGCGAAATAACCCAGAAGAAAAAAGACAAATAGCCCACCGGTGTGTTGAAGAGGTTTACCCTTGTTTTGGTCTCGGTAGCTACCTTTTTCACGTGCTTGTGAATGGTTAGCGTACGGTTTATCTTCACTCCGAGATACGTTGGAGTGGGATCGTGCCACACAGTGTTGCTGCAGGTCACTTTCAGAGTGTGCTTCACTAGTTTGGAGGCTCTGTAGTTGGGCAGGACTCTTGCGGTCCGGTATTGTTGGGTTAGCAGCACCACGGCATCGTAGTCGGGCCCAGGCACGGTGGCTGGAATGTGTGAAGTCCAGGCCTTTAACACACTCAATCCACCGCCAGCGTCTGGCTGAATCTAAAGACTCTAGCAGGGCCTTTCCAACATGTAGGCTGCCAAACTGCTTGTACTGTCGGAGCAGTGCCTGGGAAGCCTTGGGGAATGCTCTTCTTGGCGGCTATAGCAAGGTCAACTAAACGGTGACAGCATTCTGGTGTCACGGGAATTCAACTCACTACTCTCTCTACAGCCTCCTTATAATGGTCCCAAGTCAGCTTTGACCAAGTTCCACCTTGGTAATCGTTTTGACACAATCACAGGGATTTCGATGCCAATGTGGGTGATAATGGGCCTATGTTGACTTTTGGGGCAGCTTGGGAGTATTTTTTGGGATGCGTTCAATGTGCTCCCACGTTGATCTTTGGAAACGATGCCAAGGTCCGGGCTGTAGTCGCGTTGCAAGTGAGCAGTGGAAAGTTGCTCGCTGCTTGGGATCGAAAATCAGGTGCAGATCTTCAGCAGATATACATTCAGTGAGGTCTTCGCCGATGGCCCGATCTACTGCATAGCCCAGATAGTATGGTGCCTGTTAAAGTCACCAGAATAGGTGAGGAAAGAGCATCAGAGTGGTAACAAGTTACTTGATTACACTCGGCAGCTTGATGTGTTAATTATGCGAGTTTGTGTTGATCCGTGTTGATATCAATGCTGGTTGGTGCAGTAAGACGGGGAGCGTGGAACATGGGTGGGAGCAGAACTGGCTCATAGAACCAGACTAAGGCTCCCTTGAGATTCTTAGTGTTCAGTAATAATACATGAGGCTCAGAGCCAGACGAAAGCTCCCTTTGAATTCTTAGGGTTCGGTGATAATGCATGGGACACCACAGCGGCCAGATGTTAATTCCCTCGCCTAGTAAGCAGATCGTGGGTTTGATCCCGTACTTCACGATATGCCTGTATATTTGCAGTTTGCGTGTTCTCTCTCCACGTGGTTGCATGGATTTTTCTCAGTCCTGTTATTTCTCTCCCCTTATAGAAACATGCTTTTTAAGTATTTGGTTGCAATACATTTCCACATAAGCCACTGTGTTGAGCGATCATTTGTGGCCAGGTCGCTTTTGAACAGAGCTAAATAGCTCAGTGGTCCTTACATGGCAAAATAAAAGGTTTTGAGTTTAAATGCATGAGGCTCATGACCTGACAAAGGTGTCCATGGGTTTCTTAAGGTTCAGTGATAATTCATGAGGCTCATAGAGCCAGACTAAGGCTCCCTTGATATTCTTAGGGTTCAGTGCGGAGGCCCTCATCCAGCAGTGGATTTACACCAGGGGCTTAATGCAACAGTTGTCAATGGCAGGGAGGTCATCCTACTATAACACAACACATTATTTTAATATTTTATTAAAGTTTAAGAAAAAAATGAAATACTTTCATATTCAGAGTCATGTATAATTAAAGCCAATGTCTACAACGTTGCTAAACAATGATATATGAACTTAATACAAATGTATGCTGTTAGGAAATAAACTTTCAACATGACTTCACACTGTATATAAGGTATCATTTAAAGGTAGACAGTTTGACAATATGGTACATTTGTGGCTGAGTAAACCTAGACATTTCCCAGTACACGTACTGCTTTGTTGATACAGGTGATATCCCATTTAAATGCATGGTCACTTGCGACTGAGGTCCTTTATTCAACCAGGTGAGCACCCATTGAGAGGCTCAAAATGGCTTGCGAGACACTTGTCAAGCAAACTTAAGAAGAGTTCTCGGTGAAATCCCTGGTCTGCCAATGGTCGGGTGTTCTATCCTACCCCTAGGTCGACTCAGCCATTACACAATTATGATTATAATCACGTATCGATTGACAGAAAGGGTAAACACTGGTTCGATGGAGAGTATGATATATAAAAAAAACACACACGCGCCACTATTGTATCTCACTTAAATCAAAATTCCACCAACACTGATCGCCAACGGAGGCCAATGTGAGCAGAACTCCGCTTGAGTCTCTGCTTGTAAATACAAACGTGTCTTTGTCCTTCGGGCTTTCCACACCAACATCACCGAGCGGTTTTTATTGAAGCAAAAACACCGCAGACCGGTCACGACCTCCTGGCGCTCATCAGCAGAGTAGACACATGTTCGTTAAAGACACGTTGCCGACTGTTGATCTGGAAAGCCAATAGGCTGATTGAACTTAACCACGAGGTTTATTTTTTCTTATTAGTGGAGACACAGAAGAGATATCTGCTTTTACAGGGCGTTCGTTCGTCATTATGAGGGCAGCGCTTGCAGTGCTGGAAGAATGTCTGCTGCTGTGCCAGGGTCTTCACGAGGTCGGGTTCAATGACAAACTGAACCGGGCATTCGAAGAAACGCATAACATTAACGCACCATCGCCCCAGCCGTGTACATATATATTCGTACAAAGATACCCCGTATAGCCTCAAAAGACTTTTAGGAAAAGTGTTGTTAGCGAGTAGCACCTACGAAGGCTGGCATGACACACGAGGGGGTGGGATGGCCAGCACTAGTGATGATGTTTACACATCACAACTGGTACTCATGTGAAGCAGTCAACCCAGTGGAGGTGCAGAACCTCTTTAGATATATGTACGTTGAACTTCTTTCCCACCGTACATTGCCAACCGTGTTAATCGGAGGTGTGGGGGAAGGACAACTAAACAGAAAAAGAAGCTCAGATCATCATCACTGAGTGTTGGCCATGAGCGGGACTTGAACTCGGGTTCTACTGGTCACGTGCAACATTAAACAATGCACACGGGCACCGTTGAGCAAACGAGCGGCGATCGATTGGAAGTTCGGCAGCACGTCACACATGGCTCATTATAAAGAGGCAACAATACTGTATTTGCCTTCACCCATAATGCTCGATGCCCACGCATCTTGAGTTTGTCTCCGGTTTGAAGCCAGGAGTGTGTTGCTGTGGTGTGCTGCGTGTGTACACGATAGGTAATGGTAGTTAGTGTCTGCACAGACTGGCGCCACCGCTGTATCATTGTTAACAAAACTTTGGGATGTCAAATTTCGCGATATTCACAACACCAGGTTTCCAACGACTTTGTAATTGCATTTAAATTATTATCCTATCGTTGCTGCGATTCGCTAGATTTCCAGGATGGATATTGCTCAAAAAAAGTCCTTCAGGTGCGGGTCACTCAACGAGAGCCGTGTTATGACATCACATCGAGTTGCTGCTTGCAACAGGACACGCCGTCAGGAAACGGTGAAGTTGAATAATCGCCGTGCCCTCAATTACCTCGGAAAAAAGTTTAACAAATTATTATCTTCATGGGTCAGAGCTGTTTTCTTCAAAACTTAAATGATCATCAACTTTAATTATGGTTCACTCGTGAATATTCTGTTCGCAAATCAAATACTTTAGGAAAACATTTACAAACCACAGTTAGGATATGGCGATATTTTGTGCGAATCAGATGCGAAGATGATCGTCGCATCTGATCTTGGCGGCAGCGCAGTGATAACACTTCCTGCCTCGCAGAAATAGGGTCCAGTGTTCGATTCCCGACTCGGGTGCCCATATCCCCACTCTGCATTGGGTTTCCTCTGGGTTCTCCGGTTTCCTCCCATAGCTTAAAAAAAAACCCAACCATACAATGTAACTGGTATTGGCCAAAGACATTCCAATGTAAAAAGTTTAAATGACCTGCTAATTACTCAATTGGGATCACAAAGAGCAACACTGACCACCAACCCCGACTGTGAAAAGCTGGCAGGACCCTCCTCATAAAGGGTTTTGAGGCTCGGTGAGGATTTCATGGGGAAACGTATTAACAATATCATATGACGCGATGTAGTATCGCCAGATGATAGCAACCTTTAGTACGATGGACCAGTCCTTGTGCATACTGATAGTGATGCGTATGAGGGACACAATGAACGGCGCAAATTACGGGTGAAGAGCTGGGATACAAATCATACGGAGGCACTTGTTTGTAGATTCAAAGTTTGGTTAAAATACACCCTCATATTTGAGTGTAAACACATACACACAGACACGCATGCATACACACAAAGATTCCCATATAGGCTTAACAGACTGTTGGGGCAAGTGCTGTTAGCAAGTAGCACCTATGAAGGTCGGTATGGTACATGAGGGGGTGGGTGGCTAACACCATTCCCGGCCCAGCGAGCTTGTTTACACACCACACCAGGTACTCATTTAAGGCTGGGTCGACCTAGGAGAGAGGTGCGGGATCGGTTCAGATAATCATCACCGGTGTTGGCCGTGAGCGGGAATCGAAACTCGGGTCACCGGGTTCGTAGCGCAGCGTGCTAACCGCTGCACTAGACGCTCCCCACATACAGAGACAAAGATCCCCCATATAGCCTTAACAGACTGTTGGGGCAAGTGTTGTGAGCGAGCACCCACAAAAATATCTACACACAAATATACACACGTACAGAGGTAAACACACGTGTAATCAGGGCTTAATTTCTACACTGAATATTGGACGTGGTGTGTCCGGAGAGGCAACATATTTCTGCTTGCTGGTAGAGTGGTGTAGGTGACTTGTGACTAGCAGCATCCACAGCTGTTCGAGAGAGGTATACTGGAGGTGGTGTGCCATATTTCGAAAATGGAAGCGTCTGCACGTACATATTGACCGGCGCATACGGATGTGTAAACGCACAAAGCGTAAAAACACGCGCGCGCGCAGACATATGAACGTGTCTATACAGACAAATGCATTCACACACAGATGCACGTACATGTAAGCACAGACAAAGATCCCCCATGTAGCCTACACAGATTGTAGAGGCAAGTGGTGTCAGCAACTATTAAGGCCAGCATGGCGCAGGATGAGGGGGTGGTGTTGGCAACACTATGCCCGGCCACATTTATCTTCCTGGTGCTGCTGTTTCATTCCGCACTGGGTACTCAGTTAAGGCTGAATCAACCTAAATGATTCACGGGACAAGATGAGATCATTTCCACTATTGACCATGGCGGGGAATCAAACTTAGGTCGCCGAGCTCATCGTTAAAAGCGACAACTGCACCACCGCTCCCCAAAAAGCGACACTCACCCACACAAAGACAGACACAAAGACTCACACTCAAGATACATAGGCATACAAACACACAGAGAAAAGACACTCACACGGAAACAGAGGCACTCGCACACAGACACACAGAGGAACACAGACAAAGCCTTTTCTCGAGGATGACGCACAGAAACCCAATGACACAAACACAGCGTCACAGATACACTCACACACACAGCATCACAGATACACTCACACATACAGACAGACTCACTCTCACAATGATACACTCGCACACACTCTCAAGACTCGCTGCTCTTGCAGACACCGACAGAGACACTGACAGATGAACTCTCACAAGACTCTCACACGGAGACTCATCTGACACGGATAACACTGACAGAGATGCCGATAGACACTCTCACACGGAGACACTGACAGAGACACTGAGAGACGCACAAAAACAGAGATGCCGGCAAGACAGACAAAATCTCTTACACGGATAATGACAGATGCTGATAGACAGACTTGCTAACGCGGGGACAGTGACAGAGACGCTGATAGATGCACACAGAGACTCTCACACGGAGAGAGACACGAAGCTGTTGTACTGCTGGATGTTCCGCTTGAGGATGCTGGAGCAGGGTCCCATGACCCTTTCGAAGCGAGGCCGGTCCAGCTTCACGCACTTGAGCTGGCTGCGAGCCACCACCGTGGCCGCTCGCGGGCGGTCCAGCAGCAGAGCGATCTCTCCTGGCATTGCACACAGAGCCCAGCATCACACACAGCGTCACACGCAGCGTCACACGCAGCGTCACACGCAGAATCACACGCAGCGCCATACACAGCACCGTGGCACACACAGCAATAGTGTCACACACACAAAGCCACTCATACACCCAGCGTTACTCAGCACAAAACAATAAACAATCACCGGCATGATCTATCCACTGCTGGATGAAGGCCTTCCCAAATCCTGCGCTGTAACAATCCACTAGCACCTGCTCTACACACGAGCCGATTTCATCATCGTTCCATTGCCGCTGTCTCCTTCGTGCCCCACCATGTCTCCCTTCACCTCACGCCAACTGCCTGTGTCTCCCTCCTCACTCCACCTCCCCATGTCTCCCTCCCCCTCCTCCCCGTGTCTCTATCCTCCTACCCGTGTCTCCCTCCTCCCCGTGGTTACCTCCTGCCCATGTCTCCCTCTTCCCCGTGTCTCCCACCCCCTCCTCCCCTCCCCGTGTCTCCTTCTTCCCCTCCCCGTGTCTCCCTCCCCCTCTTTCCTGTGTCTCCCTCCCCATGTGTCCCTCCTCCTCCCAGTGTCTACCTTCCCCTCCCCATGTCTCCCTCCTTCACCGTGTCTCCCTCTCCCTACTCCCGGTGTCTCCCTTCCCTCCTCCCCGTGTTTCCCTCCTCTTCCCAGTGTCTCCACTCCCACTACACGTGTCTCTCACCGAAGTAGTCAGAGGGGCCGAGTCGTCCGACCTCCACAAACTCGTCGCTCTCGGCGCGGCGCTGCAGCACGGCCGCGGAGCCCTGGAGACGGACGGGCGGTGGGGGCGGGAGTGTGAACAGGTGTCTCTGTGTGTGGCAATGTGTGCCTGTGTAAGTATTAGTGTGTCTGTTTCTCAACGTATGTCTGAGTAAGTAGCAGTGGATGTGTCTGTGTGTCTTCGTGTGCATGTCTCAATGTACGTATGCGTAAGTGTCTGTGCATGTCTCATGTCTGTGTGTGTCTCAGTGTGTGTCTGTGCACGTCTCTGTGCGCGTCTGTCTGTGCGTGTGTCTGTACGTGTCTCTGTCTGTGCGTGTCTCTGTGCGTGCGTGTCTCTGTGCAACATCTTCGCCGGTTAGAAACATTTAGGTTGGCCTGCCTACGATCAATCCTGGGTTTAACCAGGCTGAATTGTGTGAGGAGCTCACAAATCCTCGAAAGATCTGGACAAAGTCCCATCGGTGAGCTCCTCCAGCAGGCAAGGCTGCGTTGGCTGGGCCATGTAGCCCGCATGCCCAATCACCGCATGCCCAAACAGCTTTTGTTCGGCCGGATTGAGGGGGCTAAGCGGGCGCCGCATGGGCTAGAGAAGAGATGGAGTTATGTGGTACAGGAGGACGTGGAGCTGAATGGACTTGCCGATGACTGGTACCAGCGGTGTCAAGATCGGCCTCTGTGGAGGAGGCTCGTGAAGGATGCTACTGGGCAGTTGGAGGCAGTCGCCTCCAACAACAACGGAGGGCGGAGGAGCGACGCTCACAACAACGAGCAGAGCGCCGGGTGGCTAAAGCACAGCAAAGTTAGCACATTAGGGGGCACAGGTGGTGCATCAGCCAGTCACCTCGGTCATCTCAGTCAGTCGACCCGTGGCACCTGGGTCTGCCCCGTGACCTCCTGCCAGCGGGCATTCGACACTTCACGTGGCCTCAAGGTGCACATGGCCTGGCACAAGCGTCGTGGTGACGTCACCGCCATTTAGTGGCGAATGGCGGTTGTTCTTGTTGTGTCTCTGTGCGCACGGGTCTCTGCGCGAGCGTGTCTCTGCGCGAACATGTCTCTGCGTACTCTTTGGTTCTATTGACTTTACCCAATAGAACCAAAGAGTATGGATCCTAGCAGTCACGAAAGCTTTAAATCTAGAAATGTCTCTGCGTGTCTCTGCGCGAACGTGTCTCTGCGCGAGCATGTCTCTGCGCCTGCTTATCCGTGTGCGTGTCTCTGTTGCGCGTCTGTGCGTGTCTCCGAGTGTCTCTGTGACCTCTGTGATGATGTAGAAGTCGTCCCCACGTTCCCCCTGTACCACGATGTTTTCCCCGTCCTGGAATTGAACCGGTTCCAGGGCATCGGCCACAGTGAGGCGCTCCCACTTGTCCAGGGACTCTGAAAAAGATAAACACAAAGATTCCCCAAATAGCGTTGAACAGATTCTTGGGGCAAGTGCTGTCAGCGAGTTGCACCTATGAAGGCCGGCACGGCACACGAGGGGGTGGGTGGCCAGCACCAAGCGTGGCCGCCTTTGTTTCTCCAGTAGCGATGTATACGCACTGCATCTGGATGAGTTGACCTAGGGGAGGTTCCGGACCAGTTCAGATGTTTGTCACCAATTTTGGCAATAAGCCGGGAGTGAACTCTGGTCACTGGGCTCGGAGTGCAAAGCGCTAACCACTACACTACCGCTCCCCATGTCACACACAAAGACAAAGATTCCCCGTATAGCCTTAACAGACTGTTGTGGCATGTGCTCTTACCGAGCACCCATTAAGGACAGCACGGCACACAAGGGGGTGGGTGGCCAGCACTACACCCGGCCGCCTTTGTCTCCCCAGTGGCGATGTGTTTACACACCGCACAAGGTACCCATTTGAGGCCGAGTCGACCTCGAAAAGGCCCAGGACCGGTTCAGATAATCGTCACCGGTGTTGGCCATGAGCGGGAATCGAACTCCTGTCGCTGGGTTCGTAGCGCAGCCGTGTTAACCGTTACAACTACCGCTTCCCCATAGACACGAATACACTCGCACACACACGGCAACATTCACTGAGAAACAAGACACGAATACACTTCACAGACACGGAGACGTGCACGCACACACACACGAATACAATCACAGAGCAACACAGAGGCACGGACACACACAATGGCAGACACGCATAGACATAAATATACCACTACACTACCATTCCCCACATCACAGTGACCACACGCACACTCACCGAGTATGGATACTTTGCTCAAAAACTCTTCATACATCTTCCTCTTCCGCAGAGTGCTTCCCTGTACACACACAACACACATCGCATATCTGTGTGTCAATAGGTGTATATCGCTGTCTGTGTACGTATAGATCTCTGTATGTGTTTATCTACATAAGTGTATATCTGTGTGTGTGTATACCTGTTGTCTGTGTGTGTATCTATGTTCATCTCTGGGCGGCTAAAATGCAGCAAGTTGCCACAGTAGGGGGTACAGCTGGTGCATCTACCAGTCATCTCAGTCAGCCAGCCCATGACAACTGGGTCTGTCCCGTGACCTCCTGTCAGCGAGCCTTCGACGACACTTCACGTGGCCTCAAAGTGCACGTGATCTGGCACAGGCGCCGTGATGACATCACTGTCACCTAGTGGTGAATGGCGGGTATTGCTATCTCTGTGTGCATCTGTGTGTGCATCTCTATGCGTGTCTCTCAGCCAAGAGGATGCATCTTTAGCTGCCTTTGTGCATCTCCCTGTGTCTCTCGCTCTCTGTGCAGATCTCCCAGTAGCTGTTTTTATCTCTGTGCATATAACTCTGCGCATATATACAGCAATACCCCGGATTACATCATGGATACGTTCCTGAAAGGTGCGACGAAGAATATCGAAATGTAAAACAAAGCGATTTACAGGTTAGGTGATGGCGAAAGCCGAGGTGATGGATATGGGAAAGGATGGCCGATGATGCCGTCAGCTGAGTGTCGGTTGAGGCGACGTAAATTGGGTCGTGGTGTTATAAAAGTGATGTATTTGCCAAACGACGTAAAAGTGGACAGCGTAAATGGAGGTCTGATTGTATCTCTGCGTGTGTAATTCTGCATGTGCATCTCTGCGGCGCATCTTTACGGCGCATCTTTACGGCGTATCTCTGCGGCATATTTCTGCGTGCGTATCTCTGATCGTGTATCTCTGCGCACCATGAGGATTCTCCGGTAGCTGTCTCTGTCGATGCCCCACAGTTTGATGTCGCTCCGTGCTTTTACGGTGGCGGCGCGAGGAGTCCCATAGATCAGCGCCAGCTCCCCAAAGCTCCCCCCGTCCCCTATGGAGCCCACCCAGTCACCCCCCACGTACACCTACACACAGGGGGGGAGAGATACAGAGATATACTTATACACAGCCACCAACATACACTGACATGCAATGGGAGAGACATACATAGAGAGATACCAAGATCCTCTTCATAGCCTTAACAGACTGTTGGGGCAAGTTCTGTGAGCGAGTAGCAGCTAGGAAGGCCGGCACGACACATGAGGGGGTGGGTGGCTAAAACCATGCTCGGCCACTTTTGTCTCCCCAGTGGTGATGTGAACACACCACACCAGGTAATCATTTAAGGCTTAGTCGATCTAGGGGAGGTCCAAGACCGGTTCAGATAATCGTCACTCGCCAGGTTCGTAGCGCAAAGAGCCAACCGCTGCCCCACAGAAATACACACAGGTACACACAATAATAATTGAGTTCAATTGCTGTTTGCGCTATCGTTCATAAACTGCAGGGCTATCATACCGCATGGCGCTGTGTTGGGCAGTCTGGAAGAGTAGGGGGCGATGTTGCTGCTGTGTCTGATCCCAATTGAGTAACTTGCCGTGTAAATGTAAACATTTTGCAAATTTTTTACGTGACGCCAGCACACAATCGCCTGTTGCTCGTTCATAATGGCATCAAGGGATCTTTCACGCCCACCGTTTGTGAAGCGGACACCGGGCAGTATTTTACAGTTAACATGTACCGCAAAAGTAACTGGGATGATTCATAATAAAGGTTTTTGGGTTGGATCGCATTATTTATAAATGTGTCATAACCCTCCACCACCCGACACGGCCAATCAGCAAAAAAGTGTCACGTTGACAAAAGACAAATAATTAATTACTTTAGCCCACCGGTGTGTTGAAGAGTGAATCCACAACATTTACAGTTTGAGTACGACGTTTCGATGGTAATTACATCCGGCATCATCGGGCAATTTGCTGATTGGCCGTGTCGGGTGGTGGAGGGTTACGACACATTATAAATAATGCGATCTAACCCAAAAACCTTTATTATGAATATTGGTCGCGAAAGCCTACGTGTTAAAGTAACTGGGGAGGCCTGCAGGTGTTGGTGGCCATGGGAGGGGATCGAACTCGGGTTGCTTGGATTCGTAGCGCAGTGTGCTAAACCCTGTACTACCGCTCCTTCATACATAGAGAGATAAAAGCCAAAGATTCCCCCATATAGCCTTCACAGACTGCTGGGGCAATTGCTGTTAGCGAGCAGCACCTACGAAGGCCGGCACGGCACACGAGGGGGTGGGTGGCCAACACCACGGCGGGCCGCCTTGGTGTCCCCAGTGGTGATGCTAACACACCGCACAAGGTACTCATTTGAGGCTGAGTCGACCTCGGGGAGGCCCAGGACCGGTTCAAATAATCATCACTGGTGTTGGTGGCCGTGTGATTTAACGTGGAGAGGGAACACAAGGACACTCACATCAACTTCTCCCTGATCCAGAACGTAAAAATTATCCCCTTCATCACCTGCAAACACACATCATCCTCATCAGGATCATCCTCATCGGAATCATAATCATTAGTATCATCAGCAGCAATATCGTTAATATCATTAGAATATATATCATAATTTTAACAAATGGGCTTTCGTGACCAATATCATCCATAATAATGGCTATCGCCTGATGAAGCTAGTTGTAATTACTGGTGAAACGTCATACTCAGATTATAAATGTTGTGGCTTGGCTCTCCAACACACCGGCGTGCTGTACTAGTGACGAATTGGCATGGTCTGTTTACGTGACAACCCATACCAGTTGACTAGTTGGCTGTGTCGGATGGTGGCGGGTTTTAACGACACATTTATATATTTACGCGATCTAACCCAACCCTCCCCCCCCTCTATTATGGATATATCATCATGAACACAGTAGCAACAGTATTTATTACTATGAGCCAAGAATGTCTGTGTGTCCCGCGCATGACGTCACTCCACGTCGGCCAGTCCCCCGCATTAAGTCATAAACAGGTAACGTCCTCCACATGGACCCCCCCCTCATTAATAATCATGAGCGGGTGACGTCACTCCAAATGGACCACCCCCCCCATTAATAATAATTATTAGTGGGTGACCCTCATGTCACGCGATCTCCGTAACGCTATTGACACATAGAAGTAAAAAGTACGTCATGATGAACAAGGGATTATAACCTTTAAATGAAATAAGTCTGTCACCGCGACCTTACAAATTGCACACAAATTTATGCAATTAATATCACGTCACGGTCTGCTTTTCGGTTGCAAGTTTCAGATTTACTGCAATACACCCGTCCTTGGATGGGCAAAAGGCTAGTTGACAACATAATTATCATCATTTGTAGATATATTAGCATTGGTAGCATAAAACTGGTCTCTTGGAGCTGAGTCTTGAGACCCTGAGACCCAGTCTCGTGCAGCCAAGTCTCAAGACCCTGTGTGACCCAGTCTCCTGGAGCAGAGTCTCAAGACCCGATCTCCCAGAGCAGAGTCTCAAGACTCTGAGACCTGGTCTCCTGCAGCCACATTTCAAACCCTGAGATCCCATCTCCTGGAGTTGAATCTCAAGACCCTGAGAACCGGTTTCCTGGAGCCAAGTCTCAAGACCCTGGGACCCAGTCTCCTGGAACCGATTCTCAAGACACTGAGACAGGGTCTCCTGGAGATGCGTGTCAGTCTGTGGGAAGGAGAGAGTTGAGAGAGCAGTGCACCTTGCTGTATGACGACGTCTCCGGCAATGTGTGTGACTGGGAACATCGCGTCAAATATGTCACTGTGGAACGAGAGAGATTCGCACACCAGGATACACACACACACGCACGGTTAGGAACGGGTTGACGCCAAAAGCAGACAATGGTGCTGGTCACCCCACGTAATCGTGCGCCGTTCCAGCCTCAACGAGCCCTCGCTGACAGCCCCAGTTGAGAAATACTGAATTGGGATTTCCCGTAGCAAAGTCACCCCCCCCACACTCCGCCCCCTCCAGCGAAATAATCTAAATATTTATTCAGACTGGGGGAATCCGATGAGCTAAGCTCTTTTCACAGGTGTCCAGTCGGGGCAGGTCAGGATGCTGTCACGCCGTCTGCTTCGCTCACGGCGGACTTTAAAGATCCAGTGACGTCGTTCGCAAGGAGGCTGGCCATCGTGTGCCGCCGGCGTCATGGCCCAAGTTGAGAAATTACACCGCCAAGAACTCGACTGGAATATACATCAGTTTAACACGTTGGCTTTCGCGACCAATATTATTAATAATAAAGGTTTTTGGGTTAGATCGCGTTATTTATGAATGTGTCGTAACCCTCCACCACCCGACACGGCCAATCAGCAAAAAAAAGTGTCACGTTGACAAAGACTACTAATTCACTACTTTAGCCCACCGGTGTGTTGAAGAGTGAATCCACAACATATACATGGTGATCATCGCATCCCTCCCAAAACAATTTGGCAGGACCCTCCTAATAAATGTTTGTGAGACTCAAGAGAGGCTTTCCTGTTTAACCCTTTCCCGTTCCGATGACGAAGGTGTACATCATAAACATCTAACAAAAAAATGTAAAAGCTAAAATAAAATTACTTTATTGGTAGCGAGGCTCCCACAAGGCCATGCGGGAGGGCTACGTGTGGCACAATTTGGCGCCAGCTATCGTAGAGTGCGGCGGTCGTGTCATTACGGTTCTTTGTGGTGAGTAACAATGTATTTAAAAGCAACGGCGCTACTACGCTAATCTAAATAAAATTAACGCTGAGCCACTTGTTCGCTCCGAGATTCAGCGGTGAAAGGGACACCCACCCTACAACTTCCAGACATCTTGGCACGGGTCAAACAACTGCACTGCTTATGATGTTAATACGGTAAAGGCCCGTCATAATGCGACTCACGACAGCATGGATTCAGGCACACCACGGGTCAAGCCTCCCAAAAAAAAACGTGTTCTAAACTAAAAAAATTTGACTCAACTTCATGTTTATTAGGACGTATGAAATATATTTATCTTACCATGTAAGGCCCACTGAGCTATATAGCTATTTTTCAGAAGCAACCTGGCTATCACAAATGATAGCTTAACGAAGTGGCTTATCATGTGGAAATGTATAGCAGCCAAATTCTCGAAACGCATGTTTATAAATGTAGAGAGGAAAACTGGAAAACGCAGAGGAAAATCAACACGACCACGGGGAGAGAGACCATGCAACTACAAATATACAGGCGTAAGAGTCGGGATCGAATCCATGACCTCTATATACCCGAGTTACATCCCGCTACTGTTGCCTATCCAGCCCCCACGTTATGTCCTCTCAACTTCCTCTGTCACGAATGCGCAGTTGGACAGACACGGATACACATGCACAGATTCACACACAAATATAATCAGAAACACAGAGATACGGACACACACACAGACATGGAAGACACACGCAGAGACACACAAACAGACACAGAGACACAAATATCCCCTGTATAGTCTTAACAGACTGTTGGGGCAAGTGCTGTTAGCGAGCACCTATGAAGGCCGGCACGGCACACGAGGGGGTGGGTGGCCAGCACTACGCCCGGCCGGCTTTGTCTCCCCAGTGGCAATGTTTACACACCACATCAGGTACACATTTGAGGCCGAGTCGACGTAGCAGAGGCCCAGGACCAGTTCAAATAATCGTCACTGGTGTTGGCGGCCGTGAGCGGGAATCAAACTTGGGTCGCAGGGTTCGTAGCACAGCCGCATTACCCGCTACACTACTGCTCCCCACAGACACGAATACACTCGCTCACACACAAGGAAACATTCACATAGAAATAGACACGAATACACTTCACAGACATGGAGACACACATGGACAAGAGACACAGAGAATCAGAGAGACACGGACACACGCAGACAACAGGAGACATACGCAGACACATATATACAGACACGGAGACACAGGCACGAAGGCAGACGCGGAGACACGGGAAAAAAGCGGAGACATGCATTTTCAATCGCAACACGGGCAGAAGCCTATAACGCTGGTGCTATTCGCATCCCTCGACAAATGCTCCATCGGGCGTTCAGCAAAAGTTAAGGCACCTGCGTTCGGAGTCGTCGAGGTGAGAGAAGAGGACATTGCGAGCAATTGCTTTGGACAGGGCAGCCATGGTTTTGTAGTCCTTGGGGATGACCTGGTAGGGAAAGACAATCGTTTGCTTCAGGAGATAAAACCGTTGTCCCTCTTAAAGGGACCGAGTCGATCCGGACTGCTGCCTAAAGCTCAACACAGTGAAGCGAACTAGAGGCTGCTGGTGGGGATAGTTGAGGACCGATGGTGTTCTAGATAGACGAGTGGGAGTTTGGAACAGGGTGCCCACACACGCGGTGGAAGTGAATTTAGTGAGACTCTTCAATAAGCGTGTCGATGAGATTCCAAAATCCACCTGCCACTCGCAACCGAACGAACAAAATGGACCAAATGGCCCCCCAGCTCCCACTCGATTCGTATTCTTTTTTGTGTTCCGTGATTTTGAGACGAATATTTCAGATGCTTTAAAGAAAAAGAGAAATACACAGCAATACAAAGATTCCCTGTATAGCCATCTCAGACTGTTGGGAGTAAGGGCAGATAGCAAGCACCTATAAAGGCCTGCACAGCACACAAAGGGGGTGGGCGGTCAGCACCACGCCCTGCCGCCTTTGTATCCCTAGCGGTGATGTTTCACACCGCACCAAGTTCTCATTTGAGGCCGAGTCGACTTAGGGGAGGCCCAAGAACAGCTCAGATAATCGTCACTCGCCGGGTTCGTAGCGCAATGCGCTAACCTCTGCCCCACAAAAATACACACAGGTACACACAATAATAATAATTTAGTTAAATTGCTGTTTGCGCTATCGTTCATAAACTGCAGGGCTATCATACCGCAAGGCGCTGTGTTGCGCAGTTTGCAAGAGTAGGGGGCGATGTTGCTGCTGTGTCTGATCCCAATTGAGTAACTTGCCGTGTAAATGTAAACATTTTGCACATTTTTACCGCGACGCCAGCACACGATCGCCTGTTGCTCATCAAAAAAGGCATATCACGGGCAAACATCTGCAACGAGCAGATTAACCCGCTTCCGTGGGGCCGCATGAGAACAACTTTTCAGAATTGTCACGACCTCGCGTTTACGGACACGCGCACACACAGATGCTGCAGTAATAACCGGGCGGTCTGCAAGATTCTAACTGCAAACCTCTGCAACAGCCGAATAGCAAAGCTCTACAACAGTCGATTCGCAAACCTCTGCAACAATGCTACCATTCGGGACCTTGCATAAGACACACGCACGGTCCGAGCCCTCACATTAACACCATCAACCTTAGTTGGAAGGCGTTGAAAATCGCAGAGAAAAAACCCCAACGGAGGATTTACCCCAAAACTAAACTATTTTCTTTACCTTAACCAGGTAAGGCCCACTAAACTTTATAGCTCTTTTTCAGAAGCGACCTAGCCGCAACATGCGTTAAAATACTCTGAATGCATGTTGATTATAAATGTGGAGGGAAAAACAGTAGCCCCGCAGAAATATCCACCAGACCATGGGGAGAACACACAAACTCCAAATATACAGCAGGCATCTGGGTCGGGATCGAACCCACAATCTCCTGTATACCAGGCGAGGGAGTTAACGTCTCGCCACCCTGGCTGTTAATGTCCCCATAGTGTGATGCAGTCCACTGGCTATCACTGGCTGTGAATGTCGGGATCAAACCCACGACCTCCTGTATATCAGACGAGAGAGTTAACATCTCGCCACCGCGGCACCCCCAACAGCTAAAACCTCCCACGCTGGGCCCGATGCCTCCCTGCCTCTCACCTTGCGCTCATAGCCCTTCACGTCCTCCTCCGTGTAGACCTCGGCGCTCACCGCTCCGCGTCGGTTCCTTGTGGCGATCACCGGATTCGCGGTGGGAGAGGCGGCGTTCACATCGTTGGCCGCGTTCCCACCCTCCTGCTGCTTCTGCTGCTGCTTCTGCTGCTTCTGTTGTTTCTCCTGCTGCTGCTCATGCTGCTCCTGTTCCTGCTGCAGTGCGGGTGAGTGGAGGGTGACGGCAAGGATGTAGGGCATGGTGAGCCTTGCTCAATCCACTGCTGAATGATGGCCTCCCTCCCCAAAGTCGGCACAACCTCTCACAATCTGTGATGGAACAGTCCAACCAGCCGGCACCTGCACAGCAGCCGATTTCATCGCTCCATCTCCGACCCGCCGTGCCTCCCTGCCGCTGCTCCGTTTTCTGGTTCGCTTGTAGACTTTAGTAGTTTGCACGCGACTAGTAACCACAGCTATAGGGAGAGTGAGTATATTATATGGTGTGCTGAGCAAGGACATTTTTTCGGGTCTGGTGGCCATTCTTGCTGAGGCACAGGTGCTGCCACTGCGCTACTGTGCTGCCCAATTGGAGATTTGTGGTGACAGGAGACGCGTGGGGTTTATTCCTGCGAAAGAGCATTGTAATTGTGTACAGAGGTAGGTTTACACTAGGGAAGCCTCGGTTAACATTTCGAATGATCCTAATGTACAAAATAAATAGGCAGAAAGTACGTCTCTTTATTAACATGTATCTCCACATTAAAAATTATATATTATGTACACATTCCATTGGCCACATGGCCTTCTGGAAGTGGATCATTCCCATAGCACTGGTCCATACGAGGCTTTTTGGGTTAGATGGTGTAAAGACGTGTCGTTAAACCCGCCACCACCCGACACAATCAATTAGTAAGGTTTGTCACGTAAATAAAACAATGCCATTAGCTACGAGTTATAGATATTGGTCGCTGAAGCCTACGCGTTAAACTGACTAGCATTGTTCCAACCGGTTTTGACATTCAAGTGTCTCATCAACAACGCCACATAGAGACCCACAAACTCACATACACCCAGAGCCACAAAGACATACACAAATGCATAGTCGCCGAGACCCACAGAGTCAAGTAAAGATCCATAGTCACAGATAACCATAGACTCAGACGCATGAACTCACGCAGACCCATAGACTCAGACTTGTAGACTCTCAATCGACTCGAAGTCATACAGAGATCCATGAACTCCAGAGAAACCCAGAGACTTCGCAGATACTCTTAATGCATTGACAATTTTGCCGACTTTCAGCAACATTCGTCCTAACAAGAAACAATCTCACGCTCTCAAAGTCTCAATAACATCGGGTCGCCATGCACGATAGTTACCCTACCCAGACCCTCCCGCTCCCCCTCCTCACAGCCAATAGCGACACTCGCGGACTGCACTGCCACGAGCCCACGGCGTCACTGTGTAACCAAGTGAGACCTCCAAGAGACCACGATAAGAGTCTCATTCGCAAAGGTGGGCCTGGGGCAAGTGTTCCAGTGGGGGTGATGATTGCCGTTGCTCCCTTAAACAATGCGAATCCAATCACACTGAAGCTTGGAGAGTCGAATGGAGTTCAAATTAACTCACAAAACCACGTTGTGAAAGACCCAACGAAGCTCATGGTTCCATCCCCCCCCCCCAACTCACATCCACTGCACAAACCACGGCAATAGACACGGATACCTGACGATGCACACATGTTAAACTCTCCAGTCGTAGCGTGCGACTGTGGTCATGCAGAACAGACCGTGCGACGGAGAACACAAACACAGCACGAAGGAGACATCACAACGATACACTCCCGCTACTCCTGGCGCGGTTATCTGGCTCTATCACCTGAATGTTTAGTTTAGAATGTGAACTTGTAGTTGTTACCCCGCATCTCCATGAGCCATACGGAAAAGTTATAATGCTGCTGCGTGTGATCACAATTGAGTGATTTTGAGGCCCTCTTAGCGGATCTTTAATAACGTCCGCGGGATCTTCAATATTAGACGTCCACGAATATTTAACGGAGTATAACACCAGGGCGGATGGGCGGAAACGAAACCGCGAATACGCGAACGGCGGTGGCGAACGAACGCACTCAGCTCTAGCGGACAAGTGCGAGATAAAAAGAGCTTTGCAGCTCATCGGATTCCGCGAGTCCAAAGCAAGAGTCTGTATTCGGAGCTGCCGTTTGTGGCGGGCGAGTTAGGACCACCGCTCGTCGTCAAAAATGAAAAAAACACAAAGGAGATTTGGAATTCGGCGGCGGTGGCGGCGGTGTGAGGGTGAGTGAGGAGAATTTTTTTTTAAATAAACACCTTCTCTAACTTCTCGAAGAACTCGCGGAGAAAGCGCATGGGCCGCTCGGGCCGCGCCACGCAGAGCTGGACGATGCAGTCCTTGAGTAGCGCCTGGATGTTGTGCTTCTGAACGTAGCGCTCGCAGTCGCGGACTCCCTGCTCCGCCGCCGCCATCCTGCGTAGGGGTGGGTGGTGGTGGTGGGGGGAGGGGCGCGCGCCAAGCCTTCACTTCCGGTTTCGAAGTTAATTCCCCCGCCCCGCCCCGCCGCCTTGGCCCACGCGAAAATAATTAAAATTAAATTGTAATTTGTAAAATGAAAATTTCGATATGGATAATTATGTTGGGGTTTAACGGCTTTTAGGGCGGACGTCATCGTTTAAAATAATAAAAAGTGTTTCGGTTTACGTTCGCGTTGAGGTCGAGCGGAGCTTCCGGTTTTGAAGATTGACAATGTCTACATTAATTAAAAAAAGTAGTAAATATTAGTGTCGCGTTGAAATTGCATTAAAGTTTGTGTAAAGTTGTGTTAATTAACAGAAAAAGTAGTTTGTTACGAAAATGTTTTGAGTTTGGTGTTCGACTTCCGATGTGCGCGTCACCGTGACGTCCGGTTCCTGTTACCCCAAAGAATGTGGGTAACATAAAATGATATAAATACTTTTTGTAACTTGATTAAGTTAAGAATAACGTTATGTTAGATGCTACAAGTCTGTATTTAGATACGGTTTAAAGCTTTTTAACAATTAATAATTTCGTTTGGTGTTGAGGGGAATCATTTTCAAGTCGTTTCCCGCCACACAAAACGGAGAATCAGAACGAAATAAAAGTGTTGATTTAAAGCTTTCGTGACTGCAGGGATTCATATTCTTGGTTCTTTCGGTAAAGTCACGTAGAAGGGAAACAATAAAATAAGAATTGTATTGTTTTATATTTTTATTTTTTTATTGTTTCCCTTCTACGTGATTTTACCGAAAGAACCAAGAATATAAAAATAAAAGTGGTTTTAAAGTTTGCAGGAGGCAATGGTGTTTTAGTTGTTGACAAAACTATAACTTCATTTGGCACTTATAAAAAAAAACGATTGTCTTGAAGTTTGCTGTTGAGGTTTACCTCCGGTTCACTGTTAACGTCATTTTAAATTTCCTAAGTTAGGACTGGGTTAAGGATTGTGCGGAATTTGAACGATTAAAAAACTTTAATTGCAACAAAAAAACATTGAGGGTGATTTCATCTTGCTGCTACCCAACCACAGCGTTGTGCCTGTGTGCGTGTAACTTGAGCCAAACTCTTGCTACAATTTCCTTGTAAAGTCACATCGGCTCTTTTATCCCCAAGTTCGTAATAAAGTATAAACTCTTTATTATGCGTTACAACTTTCATGGTTCCCATTTTATCTTCGCACATTTTAATCTACTATTTTGCCTTTCAAATCACATCTGGTAGGTAGCAAACAGCATTTAAACCTGCCCCGACTGCTGATGAGACCCAGAAGGTCGAAACAGTGCCAGATGTTATGCTTAAACAATAAATGCTGGGTTACATTGGTATGCAAAGCCAATGGAGTTCCACTGGACTGACGCTACATTGGCGTTCTGATCATTAGAATACGTATACTGGAGAAATCCGATGAGCTATAAAGCTCTTTTTCACAGATGTGAAGTAGTCCACGGAGGCAACACTTTACAGCACCTATGTATACGGCTAATACGAGATCTAAAATATATATTGATAACCTAACTGATTCTAGCACGCCTGGTACCGACAGGCGAATAAACATCTTGCTTGTGGCAGATGTTTGCGGTTCACAGTGGCCCTAGGGGCCGTCCATAAATGACGTCACGCGATTTTGGACAATTTTTGCCCCCCCCTCGTCACACGGCGTCACAAAAAGTCAGACCCCCCCTCAATGACGTCACAAAGCTCTGCCCCCCCCCCAAAAAAACCATGCTTCAAATCGCTTTAAACTATTGTCATTGTAGTGCGTATTTAATGTGGCGCTGCACTCTGATGTAGGAGTGTTATAACAATTGGTGTTGTTATAACAATTCTATCTATATTTAAAGTTGCGCTTTTTGATGACGTCACATTTTTCAAACCCCCCCCCCTCGTTACACATCGTCACAAGTGTCTGACCCCCCGCCCACAGGTGCGTGACGTCATTTGTGGACGGCCCCCTACTCTTGCGGGTGACACGGGGATATTTCGCGTGCATTGGTGAAGTCGATGTCGCGTTTTTCTTTTAAAGTTAATAAACCAGCGCGGCCGCCGTGGTTGATCTGCGAACTTCTACAACAAACACCACCCCAAATATGCACGTTAAGGCTCTCTTCTGCAACCTATCCATGTATCTTTTAAGCACGTGCAATGGCTGGCACGTACATCACCACTGTAAGATAACACATACAAAATATACTTACAAATTGTGAAATGCACAAAGTACGCCAGTAAACTTTTTTTTTATTCAACGAGTTTTTGACAAAAAAATATAACTTTGAACATTTCATTGCTCAACGTTTTGCGATTCATAGTGCAAATAGGCAGCTGCAATGGAAACTCGATCGCTGTGTTAAAAGCCCTGCCCGTCACATTTCATAGTATGGTATGGATAGTGCACGTACAAATGCGCGCGTCGTTCCTACAGCGATACAGGGCGGTCCATTTTACAGGGAGCCCACTAATGTAACGTCGGAGAAAGCATCGCCAAAACATTTTACTTTCAAAGCCTCTGCACAATCTCCCACCGATCTCAATAACATTGGTTACTGTAATCACCGGATTATAAGAGGCACATTTTGTCCACCACCTCACCCACACCCCCCGTATTTTAAACAAAAAGTTGGGTATGCGTCTTATAGTCTGGATAATAGATCTGGAAGACGTGTTTTAATCAAACTTTTTCACAATTGTGTTACAGAAGGTGGCTCTCCGTAAGGACGTACGGCCACCCAGGTGAACAATCTCTTCCCACTTTAAAGCAGCGCATTCATCACCTTCCGGAAGGCGGCGCTCTTATTATGCTCGTTTACGCAGAAAAGCCTCGCCGAGTCTCATGACTCTTTTGAGGAGGGTCCTGCCAAGGGTTTCACATTTGGGAGTGATTATCTACGTGTGTAATCCCGAATAAGTAACATGAGGCAAATGTTTTAAATTTGGCAAAAATTTGGACCACGACGCCGGCACACAATGGCCTACTCCGGCAAATTGACGTCACGGGGATTTTTGACATCCACCGTGACGCAGGCGGCGCGGAGTAATTAAGTTTTTACATCCGCGGTAATAACCAGGGCGGCCGCTGGATCAGAACCGACAAAATCTGCAACAATCGGCCAACGCGTTTCCGCTGGGCCAGCAAGTCACCACCCCAGTGTTTCAAGAGGTCTATGTTCAAAGGCTGCTCACATTGCGAAGGTTAAGTGGTCATTAAAGATTCTACAACGTCATTATTCTATGTCTTGGACCCACTACACATGTAACAGTTGGGCATTATGAAACTACTCAAGTCGCATCCAAGACATTTACTAAATGGTAAGGCACATTCATAATAAAGGGTTTCTGTACAGGATGAGATGAGAAGCTTTCTGTTCTTTACTCGGTGGGAAGTCACTCATTCTCCTCCGCTACAGCCAGACTGGAACTCCCTTCCCCCAGCCACCCATGCTGTCATCTCCCTGCCCCTGTTCAAGACCATGCTCAAGACCTATCCTCTTCTCCCTATGACATAGACTCACAGAGACCGACATACCCACATAGGGACCCAGAGACCTAGGAGTGCCTCGTTCTCTCCAATAGACTATATACCCATATAAACAGAGACCTATGACCGACTCCCTCTATCGAATTAGACGAGGGGATCATATTGGATGGGACATGAGGTCTGCAACAGTAAAGCTACCAAACTGCTGGGAGTCTGAACCAGGACACTGATGTCCCCCACCCCACCTTTTTCCAATGGCACACTTGAGACAAGCCAGCACGAGACCGTCACAGTACGGGTGGTTTTTCACCAGCTGTTTGCCGAGCCGAGCCGGAAAACTAATCCGTACTACGCTGGTCTCACAAGACGTCTCAATCTAGCTCAGGACCAAGCAGGGCCAGGCCAGGAGCAAGCAGGGCCAGGCCAGGAGCATGGCAAATGAAGCACTCATTGTGAGGACACTGCATTGCCATGCAATCTACACGTCTCAACTCATTCATTGGGTGCAACATAAATGGCACAGCTCAGCTTACTTTTGCAGTGGAAAAACAGCCTGGCTCCCTCTGAGCTGTGCTGGGCTGGCTCGGTTGTGCAGTAGAAAAGGGGTACATAGGGCAAGGGGAAACGTGGGGTCACTAGACCTCACAGCTCCACACGTGCAGAGCGTGGTCATAGAATGAGCAAGTGGCCACAAGATGGAATTTATGACCACCACCAGCATCATCGACATCACTGACACCACAACCACCATCATCGTCGCCATCATCATCATCGAGGATGTCAATGAAGCCAGTTGAGGATTCGAAGCGAATGGTAAGGTTGCCCTTGGATTTCGATCTAAGAGGGGCAGCACTTGAAGAAGTATTGACCAAAGATTGAGCGGCCGTTGAAGATGTATCCACCAATGAGGGCGTGGCATTGGAGGTGGAGCTAGAGGTTGTGTTCACCAATGAGGAGGCACCGGCAGTGAAGGGGGTGGGGGCTGGTTGGATCAACGACCAATCAGCTCCATAGGCGAGTGATCCATGATGCTCGTAGGAGCACAGGACCCGTAACAACGGCGACGAAGAGCCGCCACCCCTGCCTACAGACACACACAGACAACGATCACCCATATAGCCTGAACAGGCTGTTTGGGGCAAGTGCTGTTCGCGAGTAGCACCTATGAAGGCTGGCATGGCACACCTATGGGTAATGTGGCTAGTACTATGCCCGGTCACCTTTATCTCCCCAGTGAAGTGTTTACACACTGCGCCAGGTACTCATTTTAGGCTGTGTTGACCTAGGGCAGGCCCAGGACTGTTTCAGACATTGGTCATGGCAGGGAAGCAAACGGAAGTCGCCGGGTTTGTAGCGCAGAGTGGTAATAACCACTGCGCCACCCCTTCATGTAACCTCAGATTGCTGGAGAAAGTGCTGTTAGCGAGCACCCAATAATGTCGGCACAGCACATGACGGGTGGGGCAGCTAACAGACAAATTGCATGTTTTGATTTCAGGTCTTAATTGATTGTTTACGCTTATAGTGGCTTTCAGACAGCATACATTAATTTTTCGTCTCCCCCCTCCTCTTTTCAGAACATAGATGGACTAGTCCTTCTAAATAAACTGCCAAATCGCTGCGCGTGGCGCTGACGTTTTTTTATAAATACACCTTTTGAAAATAAATAAATGTATGCGAACCGACACACCTGATGACGACCATTTGTGTTATAGTCGAAACGTCGTGAGAATTTTTATTGTTTTATATATATTTTATTATTTTATTGTTTCCCTTCAACGTGACTTTACCGTAAGAGCTAAGAATATAAATTGCATGTTGTAACGCAGTGCACAATGCATAGCTATGCATTAATCCTCCTGAAGTGTTTCGGATACTTTGTTAACCCTTTCCTGTTCTGAGATATTTGCAAGTTGCAGGGTGGGGGTCCTGTTCACTGCTGAATCTCGGAACGCACAAGCGGTTCAGTGTTAATTTTGTTTAGACAGGTGTAGCGCCGTTGTTTTAAAAATACATTGTTACTCACCACAAAGAACCATAACAACACGACCGCCGCACTCTACGATAGCTGGCGCCAAACTGTGCCACACGCCCTCCCACGTGGCCTTGTGGGAGCCTCGGTACCGACAAAGTTATTTTATTTTAGCTTTTCTTCTGATTTCGTTTCAATGAGTATAGACGTACGTCATCGGAACGGGATTGGAAGACAAACCGACAGCGTACACGTACGTCATCGGAACGGAAAAGCGTTAACTACGTCTGCTCAGATGTAAATCCTCACCGTGCTGCGGGGGTGTACAGTGCAGCACGCGGAACCCCCCGTGCATACAGGCGGAGAGCAGCAAGCCCGGGGTGCTGGGGTGCCACTTGAGACGCCACACCCCACCCCCTGTCGCCAAGGAAACTAGAGGCCGAGTCACGTGACGCGGATCCCACAGCCGCACCTGCTCATCGTAGCTGGGGGAGAGGGAGGAGCAGTGCGGCAACAAGGACCCGAGGTTTAACACGGCCGATGATGAGACTCTGCTGCTCTGCGTCCTTGCTTTATTGCAATCATCATCAGCCGTGGTCAATCCACTGCTGGATGAAGGCACCCCCCTCCCCCAAGCTGCCGCCACCTCTCACAATCTACGATGTAACAATCCACCCAACCGTGGATGGGCTGCAATTGATAGTCCATAATACAGGTTTTTTTGGGTTAGATCACGTAAATATATAAATGTGTCGTTAAACCCGCCACCACCCGACACAACCAATTAGTAAGGGTTGTCACGTAAACAGGACATGCCACTTTGTTACTAGGACAGCACACCGGTGTGTTCGAGAGCAAAGCCACAACATTTACAATCGCTAGTAATTACAACGAGCTTCATATGACCCAAAAAACCTGTACTATGGATATAGGTCGCGAAAGCCTAAGTGTTAAACTGCATTGATCGTGTGTACGCGGTCGATGGTTTGAGAAACTTTTGAAACCCAGCTTGCTCGTATTATTGGTTGGCCTTCAAATTGTTATCATTATTAATGACTAGCTTTTTTGCCTGTCCAAGCACGGGTGTATATTGCAGTAAATCTGAAATATTCAATGGAACAATTGTTCAGCTCATGATTATGAATGGGAGGGGGGGATACTGCATGTGGAGTGCGCGACCTTCTGCGTTAAGTGTAAATTTCCACGTGAGCATGAATATTAATGAAGCAGGGGGGCCTCTTTTGCAGTGACGTCACGCACGGGTGTAGCACTGTGCTGCGTATATTTATTTTTCACCGTCACTCTCTGTAAAGAAACGTCGTATTTGAAGCGACTTTGCGTAATACATTATTGAATTCAGCTCGACCTTCTTCTGCGTTAGTGTAAAAATCCAGACTCATGAATATTAATGAGGGGGGAGTGGGCCTCATGTAGAGTGACGTCACGCGGGGGGTGGGCCTCATGTGGGGTGACGTCACGTGCGGGACACATTATATTAGTAAATGATGCTCATTTACCCGGGATATCTAACCTATAAAAGTATTTTTTTGTCTGTCTGTCCGTCTGTCTGTCTGTGTGCGTGTTCACACACTTGCGAAGGATTTGTCTCTCAAACGGTGGGGTTTACGTAAACAAAAAAAATTAGCCAGGTACGCCGTAAGCCCCGCGGTGGGCAAGTGCTATTCCTTTTTCACGTCCCTCAACTTTAAATTAGTTAAATTAGCAATTAACTGCGATGTCTTTATTTATTTATTTTTAACACACGCTCGACCATACCAACTCACACGCCTTCGGTGGGAGGGACGGCCTCTAGCAAGTGACACGCATTCAGTGGGGGTGAGGAGGAAACAGTCGGTAGATGCTACCACTATAGGCCGTACATATTACTGCAGAGCGGGCGGGGGGATCGTGGCTGGGGGGGTGGTGAGGGGTAGCAGCCCAGCCCCAGCCTGCCAAGGTGCCACCTCGGCCGGCTGGGCCATCTAGGCGAGGCCGGGGGCTCTGCACGGAACTAGGCCGCACCACGGCAATATTAAGTTATTTTTTCATGCTTCTTTCGCTAAACTCATGTTGATAGAAACCTCTTCTTTAAATAATCACCTTGCAAATATTACATTAATAATGTTTGTGTGCAGACAAATAATATTTATATTTCTTGCTTCTTTCGCCCAACTCACGTACATACAAACCTATTATTTTAATTCCCACCTTGGAAATATGAAAAATATTTTTGTTTGTGCTGACAACTAATATTTCTAAATTTACTTGTGAAATATTAATCTAATTATTATTGTGTCTTAGTCCTTGTGTGCGTGTGAGTCCATGTGCGTGTCTGCGACAATGTTAGTGTGTGTACGTCTGTATGTGTGTGTGCATAAGTCCATATGTGTGTGTGTACAAATAAATAAGTTGGCAAATATTAAACTAATGTCTGTGTGTTGACAACTGATATTTATAAATTAGGATGCTAATGATTAAAATATTATGTTTGTGTCTATGTCCTTGTGTGTGTGTGAGTCGATATGTGTGTGTGTGAGTTGATGTGTGCAAGTTGATATGTGTCAGTCGATGTGTGTGTTAATCAATGTGTGTGCGTGCTGTGTGTGTGTAGACAACTCATATTTCACTATTAGGTTAATCAATTTTATATTAATAATGTGTGTCTAAGTCCATGTGCGCGTGTGTGTCCATATGCGTGTCTGCGTGTCGATGTGTGTGTGCAAGTCTATGTGTGTGTGGGTCTATGTGTGTGTGAGTCAATGTATGTGTGTGTAAGTCCATATGTGTGTGTGTAAGTCGATGTGTGTGAGTCACTGTGTGTGTGTGTCCGGCAAAACAACCCCCTACCTCCTCGCGGTGCCGGACGGGCAACTCTGTCGTGGACAGTGCTGTGATTGGCCCCTCCCCTCATGGCGTCTGTGACCACCAGTGGCTAAACGGGGGCTCTGGACGGGTGCGAGGGGCTGGTAACCCCTCCACCTTCAAAAAATTACCACTAAACCGCGACTAAAATATCTAACTAATAAGCTTGTGCCGGAGGCCCCGGGGGGACAGGCGTCTATGACGTCTCCTGGCCAAACTCCAATTGGCGGAGCCAGGAGATTGAATCTCTACCCTCGGGGCTCCTCCAGAAACAACAAAAAGCCACTTCGTGTGGCCACGTGGAATGTTCGAACGCTCACTGCGGAGGAGAGGCTGCCACTCCTCTGAAGAGAGCTGGACCGGTACCGCCTGGATCTCTGTGGCATTCAGGAGGTCCGGTGGACCGGTTCTGGCTCCTGCCACCATGAGGGGTGGTCAGTCCTCTACTCGGGGCAGCAGACTGCCAAGTAACATTACAGAATGTAACAGGAGTCAGAGCCATTCCCTGTACACCTTGGTGTGCGACAGGGATGTTCTCTGGCTCCCACATTATTTAACATCTATTTTGACCACGTAGTTCGTGAAGCCTTCAATAGCTGTACCGGGGTAATCTCCATTTGGCACATATATAATGGGAGGCTGATCGATGCCCGGGTGCGGTCAAGGGATGGCTCCCTATTGCTCAACCACGTTATGTATGCCGATGATTTGGTAATAGCTGCTCATTCAGAGGAGGAGTTGGAGACGCTGCTGCTGAGACTGGAGCGTGCCACTAAGAGATGGGGCCTTACCATCAGCCCCACCAAAACTAAGCACCTGCCTGGGTATTTTGTACCATCCGACACTCCACCCCCACAACTCCCAATCGGTGATGGGGCAGTTGTGGAGAGAGTGGAGAGTTTCCCATACCTGGGCAGTGTGCGTATGACCGGATCCAGTTTAACAGTAGAGGTCTCACTCCAAATCAGTCGAGCGGCAATATCTTTTCATCGGTTGCATAACGCTGTGTGGAAGCTACCTGGTCTGTCGCTCCGCACTAAGCTTCAGGTCTTCTCGGCCACGGTCATTCCCTCCCTTCTCTACACTTGCGAAACGTGGACCCCCCCTAATGGAACATCTTCGCCGGTTAGAAACATTTAGGCTAGCCTGCCTACGATCCATCCTGGATTTAACCAGGCTGGATTGTGTGAGGAGCTCACAAATCTTTGAAAGATCTGGGCAAGGTCCCATCGGTGAAATCCTCCGGCAGGCAAGGCTGCGTTGACTGGGTCATGTAGCCCGCATGCCCAGCCACCGCATGCCAAAACAGCTTTTGTTCGGCCGGATCGAGGGGGCTAAACGGGCACGGCACGGGCTAGAGAAGAGATGGAGTGATGTGGTACAGGAGGACGTGGAGCTGAGTGGACTTGCCGATGACTGGTACCAGCGGCGTCAAGATCGGCCTCTGTGGAGGAGGCTCGTGAAGGACGCTACTGGGCAGTTGGAGGCAGTCGCCCTCCAACAACAACGGAGGGTAGAGGAGCGACACTCACAACAACGAGCGGAGCGCCGGGTGGCTAAAGCACAGCAGGTTGGCACAGTAGGGGCACAGGTGGTGCATCAGCCAGTCATCTCAGTCATCTTAGTCAGTCGACCCGTGGCACTTGGGTCTGCCCCGTGACCTCCTGCCAGAGGGCGTTCGACACTTCACGTGGCCTCAAGGTGCACATGGCCTGGCACAAGCGTCGTGGTGACGTCACCGCCACTTAGTGGTGAATGGCGGTTGTTGTGTGTGTGTGCAAGTCAATGTGTGTGTGGGTCGATGTATGTGTGTAACCCTATGTGTTTGTGTGTGTGAGTCCATATGTGTGTAAGTCGATGTGTGTGTGTGGCTCCATGTCTGTGTGTAAGTCAATGTGTGTGTGTACGTCGATGTGTGAGTGTAAGTCCAAGTGTGTGTGTCAGTTGATGTGTGTGTGTGAGTCACTGTGTGTGTGTACGTCAATATGTCTGCGTGTCAGTCAATATGTGTGTGTGGCGCTATGTGCGTGTGTGAGTCAACGTGTGTTTGTGTCCATGTGTGTCAGTCGATGTGTGTGTACGTCGATGTGTATGTGTGTGTGAGTCCATGTGTGTGTGGTGACGTCACCGCCACTTAGTGGCGAATGGCGGTTGTTGTTGTTGTGCGAGTTAGTCGACGTGTGTGTTAGTCCATGTGTGTATTTGAGTCTATGTGTGTGTGTAAGTCTATGTGTGTGTATTTGAGTCGATGTGTGTGTGTAACTCCATGTGAGTGGATCTAAAGTCGATGTCTGTGTGTGCAAGTCCATATGTGTATGTGTGTTTAGGGCAATGTGTGTATGAGTCTATGTATGTGTGTGTGTAAGTCCATGTGTGTGTGTGTTAGTCGCTGTACGTGTGTACGTCAATGTGTGTGTAACTCCATGTGTGTGTCAGTCCATGTGTGTGTGTGTAAGTCGATGTTTTGTGTGTGTGGGTCAATGTCTGTAAGTGTGTGTAAGTCGATGTGTGTGTCTGCCTTTTTCGCCTGTGCAACGCCAGGTACTTCCCGCTCGTGCTCACTAAGTTTTGTACTTTTTCAGCAGGGCCTACCAAGTTTTTGCAGCAGGGGGCGATGTTGCTATGCATAATACCATTTGAGTAAATTTTTTCAGCATTGGGATGTTTTGGCTAACACCAATTATTAACATTGTATTAACGTTTGCTATCGGTGGAAACTGGAGAACTCAGAGTAAACCCATGGAAAACAGGAGAGCATATCAATTCCACACACTCTCATTCACACTCTCACACTGCAAATCAGGGGGAGAACACAAACTCCACGCCCCGAGGTGGGAATCAAACAAAGGCCCTTCTTGCTACGAGGCAAAAGTGCTGTTACCTCTCCACCACCCTGTCATCCCAATGAGTATACACCGATGTGTCTGTACGTGCGAATGTTGCAGTGTAAATGGGTACACACCTTCCCGTGGCCAATACATTATCCCAGTGTGGGTTGCTCTGAATGCAGCAAACCCCAGCATCATGTCTGTGGAACACACAGAAATAGAGACAAAGATCCCCGTATCGCGTTAACAGACTGTTGGGGGCAAGTGCTGTTAGCGAGTAGCACCTATGTAGGTTGGTACAGCACATGAGGGTCTGCATCGCAAGCACTACGCACGGCTGACTTTGTCTCCCTCGTGCCGATGTTTACACATCTCACCAAGTACTCATTTGAGACCGAGTCAGCCCAGGACCGGTTCAGATATTGGCGACTGATGTTGGGTTCAGATGATCACGACTCATAAACAGCCCTGAGCCAGTGGTGTAATTCCATGTTTCCATGACAAGGATTAGCCTGTTCAAAGGTAACTTACCTCTGGCAAAAAATGGGTGTCTTACAGTCTGTCCGTGTGTCCCAACCACAGAATCTGCTGTCATCTCCACCTGCACAGTTACAATGAGAACACACACAGCTTTGAGCAATGACATGCCTGTTGGCAGTGTGGTCCAGAGTATACAGAAATTAAACTGATCTTGGGACTCGATCTTCAAATGTGGAGACCCGGTCTCCTGGAGCAGAGTCTCAAAACACCGAGACCCGGTCTCCTGAAGCCGAGTCTCAAGATCCTGAGACCTGGTCTCCTGGAGCCGAGTCTCAAGACACCGAGACCTGGTCCCCTGGAGCCGAGTATCAAAACCCTGTGACCCGGTATCCTGGAGCCGAGTCTCAAGACCCTGAGACCTGGTCCCCTGGAACCGAGTCTCAAGACCCTAAGACCCGGTCTCCTGGAGCCGAGTCTCAAGACCCTGAGACCCGGTCTCCTGGAGCCGAGTCTCAAGACCCCGAGACCCGGTCTCCTGGAGCCGAGTCTCAAGACACCGAGACCCGGTCTCCTGGAGCAGAGTCTCAAGACCCTGAGACCCGGTATCCTGGAGCCGAGTCTCAAGACACCGAGACCTGGACTCCTGGAGCCGAGTCTCAGGGTCAAGTTACCTTTGACCTGATTTGTGCGATTGCTGCTCTCTTACCAGAGTAAACGATGTTTGGGTTCCAGGAGTTGAAGGCAGAGACCCAGGCCTCAAACTCGTGGCCCTTCCACTGGGAGAGGAGTTTCAGTGATGTGGAGTCGTCCAGGTGGAGCAGGGAGAGAGAGCCAAGCGAGTCGCTTACACAGAGACTGAAACACATGCACCACCATCACCCACATCACCATCATGGCCTATCCACACCAGCATTACCCCCATGGCCACCACCACCACTACCCTACCACCAAAGACAAATTTCCCCCATATAGCCTTAACAAACTGTTGGGGCAAGTGCTGTTTGCGAGTAGCACCTATGAAGACCGGCAAGGCACATGAGGGAGTGGGTGGCCAGCACCGTGCGCAGCCGCCTTTGTCTCCCTCGTGGCGATGTTAACACACTGCACAAAGTACTCATTTGAGATCGAGTCGACATAGCAGAGGCCCATGATCGGTTCAGATAGCCGTCACTTGTATTAACCGTGATTGGGAATCGAACCCGGGTCGCCGGGTTTGCAGTGCAGCACACTAAATCCCTGCACTACTTCTCTCCCACCCCCATCACCACGACCAACACCCCCACCATCACCACGACCACCATCACCACGATCACCACGACCACCACATGCACCATCACCCCCCCCCATCACACCCACCATTACCACGACCACCACCCCCATCACCTGTGTGATTCAGTGCTGTTGTAGTCGAGGGACAGGGCGAGCCGATTGTCTCCAATGCTTAGCGCTGTGCCCGGCTTCAGGTGAACGCCCTGAGGCTACTGACCCGATGGACACACACACACACACGACACATTACTGGGTAACACCGAGATTGTGTTAATGTGCGGCTGTCTACCAAAGATATTTTTAATTCCTAATCGGCCCTCAGTAAAGAAACGCTCTTCTTAAATATCGAGCACCTATGAAGGCCGGCATGGCACACAAGGGGGAGTGCGGCCAGCTCGACGCCGCCTTTGTCTCCCCCTGTGCCAATGTTTACACACCGCACCAGGTACTCATTTAGAGCTGCGTCGACATAGGGGAGGCCCGGGACCAGTTCGGGTATTCATCGGCAATGCTGGCCACGAGTGGGAATCAAACTCCGTTCGCCGGGTTCGTAGTGCAGTGCGATAACCACTTCACACACACAGAATAATGTGCCCAGAGACACACACCTCTGCAGTCTGGATATGATGAAGTCGTATTTCCCCACGTGCATCTGCTGTGCAGAGAGTGGGGGCTCCGGCTATGGGTTTATGGCACCTGTAGTAAAGAACATTGCATTAACAGGGTACCAAACTCAATGGAAGTGAGTTTGCAAACAAACTGATGGGTCTCAGACCCCATTAAAACCAATGAGTCTCATTACCCATTCAATCCATTTTATCTCACTCAAAACCTATTTAATTCAATGGCAATAATTTCCCATTAAACTCAATGAGACTCATTACCACACTCAATCCAATGGGACTCACCACTTCATATCCAGGATAGCGGCTGTGTCCTGTCGATGTACCTCCACTATGCCTCCTTTCTTCTCGTCCACCTGATACAGCAACACTCTTCCCACCCTCTGTACGGGTGCTTCTGATGTACCCTGTGGTTGTCACAGCAATATACAGATTAAGACTTGGCAACAGCACCGGGCAGTAGTGGCGGCTACGCGTGCCTGTAATCCAGCACTGTGGAGGTGAGGGTTGCTGGATCACGCAAACATTGTGAGACTCCCTTACTGTGGGCTTGTCAGTGGAGGTGGTAAAGCAAAATCAGAATCTTTATTTAGACTGGAGATATCCAATGAGCTTTGAAGATCTTTCTCAGAGATGTCCAGTAGTGGCGGGTTAGCAAGTTACAACTATGCACCAATCTTGATTTGAAGCTTTCGTGAATGCAGGAATCCATACTCTTTGGTTCTTTCGGTAAAGTCACGTAGGTAGAAAATATAATAAATCACGACGTTTCCGGGCGCAACACAAGCGCTTTACCACCTGATGACGGACGCTTGTGTTGCGCCCAAAACGTCGCGATTTATTTTATTTTATACCTACGTGACTTTACCGAAAGAACCAAAGAGTAACTATGAACTAAATATTTTTTTTTATTTTACCAGGGAAGGCACACTGGACTATACAGCTAATTTTCACAAGCGACCTGGCCAACAAGTGATAGCTCAACCAAGTGGCTCATGACGTGGAAATTTATATCAATCAAATATTCTAAAAGCATGTTTCTAAATGTGGATGGAAACATCGGAGGACCTGGAGAAAAATCCACGTGACCACTGGGAGAGACACTGAGGACATGGGTTCAATCCCCAGGTCTGCGTCTCTCTCGGGCGGTTCACAATGGCCGTGTTGGCAATGCTGAAACAGCGATGACACCATTCGTTCAAGGTTCAGGCCCCTGGGTTTGAGTCCCCCCCCTCTCTCTCTCAGGGGGGGGGGTTCATAAACGGCTGTGCGTCTGGCACCCTGAGCTAGTAACACAAAAGCCTGGGTTTGAGCCCCGATGAGTCTGGGTGTCTCCCCACTGCCTCAGTAGATTCAGAATCTGAATATTTATTTAGACTGCAGGAAGAATCAGATGAGTTATAAAGCTATTTTTTTTTACAGATCTCCAGTTGTGAGCACGGGGTAAGAACGTTACAATAACAAACACAGTTACAAAGACACGACAGGAGTACAAAGTACAAGAAAAGTAAACAAATCACCCAAACACAGATACAACATGAAACCATCCCCACCCTACCAGACAAAACCCACTGAGGTATTAAATTGTTTTTTAAGATGCAACCTGGTCACAAATGACAACTCAACAAAGTGGCCCATCATTTTGCCATTCATAGCAGAAAAATAATCTAAGTCACCTCAATGCATGGTTCTAAATGTGGAGGGAAAAACCGGAGGACCCAGAGAAAAAAATCCACGCGACCACGGGGAGAGAGACGCAAACTCAAAATATACAGCAGTTTTCAGGGTCGGGATCGAACCCACGATCTCCTGTATACCAGGTGAGGTAGTTAACATCTTCTAGCCACCGTGATGATGATGATGACAGAGAGAGACACGCAAACTCCAAATATACACCAGGCGTCAGAGTTGGGATCGAACCCACGACCTCCTGTATACCAGGTGAGGTAGTTAACATCTTCTAGCCACCGTGATGACGATGATGACAGAGAGAGACACGCAAACTCAAAATATACAGCAGTTGTCAGGGTCGGGATCGAACCCACGACCTCCTGTATACCAGGTGAGGTATTTACCAGCGAAACGTCGTACTCAAACTGTAAATGTGGATTAACTCTTCAACACACCGGTGGGCTGAAGTAGTGAATTATTTGTCTTTTGTCAACGTGACACTTTTTTTGCTGATTGGCCGTGTCGGGTGGTGGAGGGTTACGACACATTTATAAATAAACGCGATCTAACCCAAAAACCTTTATTATGAATAATATTGGTCGCGAAAGCCTACGTGTTAAACTCAGGTGAGGTAGTTAAGATCTCCTAGCCACCGTGATGATGATGACAGAGAGAGACACGCAAACTCCAAATATACAGCAGTTGTCAGGGTCAGGATCGAACCCACGACCTCCTGTATACCAGGTGAAGTAGTTAACATCTCCTAGCCAACGTGATGATGATGATGACAGAGAGAGACACGCAAACTCCAAATATACAGCAGTTGTCAGGGTCGGGATCGAACCCACGACCTCCTGTATACCAGGTGAGGTAGTTAACATCTCCTAGCCACCGTGATGATGATGACAGAGACACGCAAACTCCAAATATACAGGCGTCAGAGTCGGGATCAAACCTACGACCTCCTGCATACCAGGCAAGGAAGTTAACATCTCGCTACCGTGGCACCCCTATAGTTACAATAAAAAAGGGCTGCAAAATAAGAGACGGTAAACAAGTCACTAAACTAAATGAATATAAAGTATACGAGTACAACTTGCTCAAGTACATACATTTCTGAGAATAGGTTTACCCTTTTTTCTGGCAACAAAACAGCTGTGTTGAGATGTTAAAACACCAAACTGAAACCTTTTACAAGGAATCATGTCTGCATTAACCACAATAATTGTGGTCAGAATGCAAACAAAACACACTCTGATAGTATGATGCATTGTTTTGAAACTGATTGGTCCACACCAGAGACAGCTTTCTTTTGAGCCTCATCTCAAACGGTGTTAGACCAGAGGACGCCAAAAGGCGTACACAGCACAAAGACAATGCACTATCAGAGTAATAATGCATAGGTTTTCTCTGGGTCCTCTTGTTTCCTCCTACATGTATAAACATTTACTGCTTGGCCTAAAACACATTAATATCTGTAGGACCTCAGAGCTTGGGCAATTGTTGGCACCGGCTCACTGCCTGGCTGCGGTCTTCCCGTTTGTCCGGTTCGACGTCCCGTCTCTCGAGTCATTTGTCTCTTCGAGAGCGAGCGATTACTGTGCGTGTTTCAAGCTAAATATACGAGCAACAACCAACAACAAATATTAGGGCAATATGGCAGGGTGGTGCAGTGGTAACATTTTGTGCATTACAGCTGAAAGGGACTGGGGGGTTTGATTCCTGGGCACAGAGTTGGTACGTTCTCTCTCCCCCTGTTCTGCATGGGTTTTTCCTCTGGGTTCTCCAGCTTCCTCCCAAAGAAAAAAAACATTAAAAATGAATGCGAATTTCTACGTGTTGGAAGAAACACCCGAAATAAACCCCACATAAGGGGGCAACATAAGGTCGTGGACTCGATCCTGACCCTGACGCCTGCTGTATATTTGGAGTTTGCATGTTTGCCTCCCCGTGATCGCGTTAATTTTTCTCCAGGTCCTCCGGTTTTTCCCTCCACGTTCAGAAATATGCAATCTTGATTTGAAGCTTTCGTTTCTGCAGGAATAAAATACAATTTATGTAATTGTATACCTACGTGACTTTAACAAAAGAACCAAAGAGTATAGAAATATGCAATTAGATTGGTTGGTTGCAATAAATTTCCACATGTTAAGCCACTTAGTTGAGCTATCATTTGTGGCCAGGTCACTTCTAAAATATCTATATAGCTCGCTGGGCTTTACCTGGTAAAAGAAAAACTAAGTCCAAATTGTTGCCGTACCGCCTTCTCTTGGTGAGCCAGGGTTATGGGATGGATGGCACCTCGTCGTTTTCTGTAGGATGGATTTCTTGTATGCATGCAAGTTGAACTTATTCCACACGCACCGTATGTAGCAAACTGTGCTAATCGGAGGTGCGGGGGAAGGACAACAAACTAAACACAAAAAGGAGTTCAAAAGTAGATTTAAAATGCATAGCTCCAGTGGCTTCCTAATATCGGAAGGGAGGGCGTTTCAGATGGCCACAGAAGCACATCTGAAAGCGTACGAGGGGGCGACCGTCTGCTTGCCTCTTCTGTGGGTTTGGAGATCTGGTAGGTGCCGCAAGCGAGCAGGGTCTCGTGCCCAGACAACGGGCACCACTCCACAGAGTCGGCGCTCAGCTCCGTGTCGACAACGTGCAGCGAATGGCACCGGTGGTGCCGTTTCGACCCCAGCGTCTCCTCCCCGTAACTCCCCACTCCGACAGCGGACTCCTCACTCATGGCTCAGCCCTGGATAACAATACGAATGCGGCGCAGTTACGGTGTGGGTTTATAATGGGTCCATCGTAATGAACGTACTTTGCATTATAACACGAACTCTTTTCCTTGAAAGTACACACAATTACTGCAGTAATACAGGGTGATCCATTTATATCTATCCCACCACAATAACTGTGAAAAATCATAGAGAAAACAACGTTTTATTTGAAATACTCTGCACATCTCCCATCAATCCCAATGACATTTATTAGATGTGTTGTGTTCTCTGGACTATAAGATGCACCCCCCACCCCTCCCCTGTATCTGAAAGCAAAGTGGAGAGAGCATCTTATAATGGGCGTTGTCTCTTCCAGAAGACATGCTTTAATCTAGCTGTTGAATTAATCTGATATAAGCCGGTTTTCCATATGGACACATGGCCCAGAGGGACAGCAGACACCATCAGATGCTCAGAATCATCTTCCAGAATAAATATTTGCACAATTAGTGCGTTTCGAGTAATGTTATTCTATTTTTTAACCAAGGCACCTACGTAAATTAACATTCTCCAAACGAGTAACTCGTAAAATAATGCCATGAGCAAATCAGTTGAATCACCTGGCTCTCTATGTACTCCAGATTATAAAACACGATTGTTTTCAAAACAGTCCAAAAAGTTTGGGCAGTCGTCTTATAGTCTGGAAAAAATACATTTCTATTTAAAGCTTTCGTGACTGCAGGGATTCATATTCTTGGTTATTTCGGTAAAGTCGCGTAGAAGGGAAATAATTAAATAATAATGCGTTTTATTTTTATTATTTTAGTATTTTTATTATTTTATTATTGTTTTATTTTTCATATTATTTCCCTTCTACGTGACTTTACCGAAAGAACCAAGAATATGGAAACATTTTATTTTGTATTCTGCTGCACTGCCCTCTGCTCAAAAATACAGCCCTTTGTCACTCCACTGCTGGCCAAACTTCACTTAATTTGTTTTATTTACCAGGTGAGGCCCACTGAGATATAATCTATTTTTCAGAAGCGACCTGGCCATCACAAACGATAGCTCTACAAAGTGGGCTTATCATGTGGAAATGTATCGCAGCCAAATGCCCGAAACGCACGTTTCTAAATGTGGAGGGAAAACTCTCGAGGACCTGGAGAAGAATCCACGCCACCACTCTGAGATAGAGAGAGACACGCAAACTCAAAATTGTACAGCAGGCAGGAGGGGTCGGATTCCAAACCATTTCCTCCTGTAGACCAAACGAGAGAGATAACGTCTCGCCGTCACTTTGTTGGTCACTACGAGTTAAAGATGAGAGGGCCGGGAATCGTAGTCAGGTCGTTTGGTTTCGTGCGGAGTGCATCCTGCAGTGTAACGAGATGAGAGCCATACGGATCCATTATTACCATTGACGGATTTAATTTAAACTCAATCGATATTTATTCCTCCATTCTTAGATTGATTTCTCCATTCTCAATACTCGGAAAAGTATAAGCAAAGATCAATAGTGCTACGATGATAACTGTGCACGGGATGATTGAAGTTAATTGGTGTAAAACATTTACTTTACTCGTAATCTTGAATAGTAATATTAACACTATAAAATGTAAAACTACGGAATCGAAACAATCGATTCGGGACTGGTAATCGATTCAAGACATTCCCCGCTCCAGCGCGAGGCGGTAAGTAATTAAACCAAACGCATTTGACGACTCCGGCACCATTACGATTCATTGCCCTTGTGTAAACTTCACACCGAGGCGACTCTTAGACGTTTAAGATAATTTTATTTTTGTTGTTCGTAAATTCTGGTAGGCCTCGAGTGGGCCTCAGTGCGGCCTTAGGCAAGGGCCTAGGTCGCGCAAATTGGACGACTTGTGCAAAGTTTTAGTTCGCCGTCGCGAATGAAACGAGGGAGCGCGCATCTGCGCCCACGTAACACAAACTTGCGCCGCGCTTCTTTATATTCATGTACAAATATAATTCATGAAAAACTTTGCACCGAACCTGCAAGTCGGGGGGGGGGACCACGGCCACCCGGAAGTGGTTGTCGCGTTGACCCTGCAACGGGGTCGGAACCGGATGCCGTGGATTTAAAGGGAACCGATTCCTGCCCCATTGGGTTGTATGGGAAGTCGGTCCCATTGGGTTGTATGGGAAGTCGGTCCCATTGGGTTGTATGGGAAGTCGGTCCCATTGGGTTGTATGGGAAGTCGGTCCCATTGGGTTGTATGGGAAGTCGGTCCCATTGGGTTGTATGGGAAGTCGGTCCCATTGGGTTGTATGGGAAGTCGGTCCCATTGGGTTGTATGGGAAGTCGGTCCCATTGGGTTGTATGGGAAGTCGGTCCCATTGAGTTGTATGGGAAGTCGGTCCCATTTGGTTGTATGGGAAGTCATTCCCATTGGGTTGTATGGGAAGTCGGTCCCATTTGGTTGTATGGGAAGTCGGTCCCATTGGGTTGTATGGGAAGTCGGTCCCATTGGGTTGTATGGGAAGTCGGTCCCATTGGGTTGTATGGGAAGTCGGTCCCATTGGGTTGTATGGGAAGTCGGTCCCATTTGGTTGTATGGGAAGTCGGTCCCATTGGGTTGTATGGGAAGTCGGTCCCATTGGGTTGTATGGGAAATCGGTCCCATTGGGTTGTATGGGAAGTCGGCCCATTGGGTTGTATGGAAAGTCGGTCCCATTTGGTTGTATGGGAAGTCGGTCCCATTGGGTTGTATGGGAAGTCGGCCCCATTGGGTTGTATGGGCAGTTGGTCCCATTGGGTTGTATGGGTAGTCGGTTCCTTGTCAGTCTCATTGGGTTAGATTGCGTTATTTATAAATGTGTCGTAACCCTCCACCACCCGACATGGCCAATCAGCAAAAAAAGTGTCACGTTGACAAAAGACAAATAATTCACTACTTTAGCCCACTGGTGTGTTGAAGAGTGAATCCACAACATTTACAGTTTGAGTACGACGTTTCGCTGGTAAATACATCCAGCATCATCGGGCAATTCGCCAGAATGGTAAAGCCCTCGCTTGCTCCCGGTTTTATATCATCATTACTCATATCAGGTGCAGTGATTAAAGGCGGAGGGGGGGTATTGTAATTAGATAATCGATTAGTAATCAGTCAATGGTTATGATTAGTAATGAGTTGTAGATTAGTAATTAGTTGTAATGTGTGTTAGTGATTATATGCTATGTTAGTAATCCGTTAATTAGTATGTGTTTCCCCTATAAGGAATTGTAATGTGCATTCATATTCTTAGCTCCCTCGGCAAAGCCACGCCGAAGGGAAACAACAAACATATTTTATTATTTAATTGCTTCCCCCCAACGCGACTCCACCGAAAGAGCCAAGAACATGAATCACTGCAGTCACGAAAGCTTTAAATCAAAATGTAATGTGTATTATTTAATAATACGCTTCCAGGCCGCACTAAGCCTGTAGCTGTCAGAGCGATTAAAGTTATTCTTAATCCTCTCAATTTCAATGGATTATCTAATTAGTCTTTGCCAGTAATAATTAGTTTTACACAACACTGCAACATTGTCAAAATCAATTGAGTGTCCTTGTTGACAAGCATGTTCTGCCACTGCCGACAGTTGTGTTTGAGATAATTTAATATTTCTCTGATGTTCTTTTAGTCTTACGCTGATGTTACGTCCCGTCTGTCCAATATAGCATCTGCCACATAAACAATTAATCCGATATACACCTTCTGTTGATAATTTAGGTAATGCGTCTTTAGTGCAAGATACTAGTTTTTGAATTTTGTGTACTGTACCAAATCTTACTGTAATGTTTTGCTTTTGCAAAACACGGGCTAATTTGTCAGATACTCCTGAGATATTTGGAATTTTTATTGTTTTAACAATCTGGTCGCTTTCAGCAGTATTGCTTTGCGATCGTGATTTGGCATTCAGTGCTCTGTTAATTTGAGCATTATTGTAGCCATTCCGTCGTAGAGCTAAGAATATGAATGCACATTACAATTCCTTACAGGGGAAACACATACTAATTTACGGATTACAAACATAGCATATAATCACTAACACACATTACAACTAATTACTAATCTACAACTCATTACTAATCATAACCATTGACTGATTACTAATCGATTATATAATTACAATACCCCCCCCTCCGCCTCTAATCACTGCACCTGATATTAGTTAAATGATGACGTCACCCTGCTGCTCTATATAAAACCGGGAGCAAGCGAGGGCTTTACCATTCTGGCGAATTGCCTGATGATGCTGGATGTATTTACCAGCGAAACGGCGTACTCAAACTGTAAATGTTGTGGATTCACTCTTCAACACACCGGTGGGCTAAAGTGAATTATTTGTCTTTTGTCAACGTGACACTTTTTTTGCTGATTGGCCGTGTCGGGTGGTGGAGGGTTACGACACATTTATAAATAACGCGATCTAACCCAAAAACCTTTATTATGAATAATATTGGTCGCGAAAGCCTACGTGTTAAGCAGTCTCATTGGGTTGTATGGGTAGTCAGTCCCATTGGGTTGTATGGGTAGTCCCACTGTTTTGAAGCAGATACTAATATTTTATCTCCCCCCCACCCCGAACCCTCCAAGGTCCACAATGGCCGACCAAGGAACACTTGTGCCGTCGACCAATCGGAAGAGGCGACGTGGGAAGGAGACGGAGCCTGCACCTCCCATGGCCAGTCCCAATAGCAGCAGCTATTTCTCACGAAGCCTACCTGCGTGCGGGGTGGAGCGACTGGGATTTAGTTTTTTCAACCAGCCTTGCGAGCAGCTCGCAAGGGCGATGCTGGGGCAGGTAAAGAGGGGGGTCTCCTTGAGACCGGCATAAGACGGGTCGAGCTACGTGGGGAAGTGACCTGGAATTATATTGGTAGGGTCCCTTCCCAATTAGCCCCTGTGTGCCTGTGGGTGAAGGAACAGCCCAAGTAATGTGTCTCTCTAACGCCACTGCCGACACGAGGGGGTGCTAGACAGTCAGACTCATTCAGGAAATCCGACAGTGGGTGTGCGACAGCGTACTCTGGGGTGTGCCACGGTGGCTAGGAGATGTTAACTATCTCACCTGGTATACAGGAGGTCGTGGGTTCGATCCCGACCCTGACGCCCATTGCATATTAGGAGTGTGCATGCCTCTCATCATCATCACGGTGGCTAGGAAATGTTAACTACCTCGCAAGGTATACAGGAGGTCGTGGGTTCGATCCCGACCTTGACGATGTCTATTTCGAATTTGCGTGTCTCGTATCTCCCAGTGGTCGCGTTGATTTTTCTTCGGGTTCTCCGGTTTTTCCCTCATTATTTAGAAACAATGTCACGCTTTTAGAGTGGCGGCTATAAATGACCACGTGATGATAAGCCACTTCGTTGAGCTATAATTTGTGATAGCCAGGTCGCTTCTGAAAAAGAGCTGCATGGCTCGGTGGACCTTACCTGGTAAAATAAAAATAGTTGAGTTTCTAGTACAGTCTTTAATCTATAATTATCAGTTTAACACGTAGGCTTTCAGGAGCAATATTATTCATAATAAAGGTTTTTGGGTTAGATCGCGTTATTTATAAATGTGTCGTAACCCTCCACCACCCGACACGGCCAATCAGCAAAAAAAGTGTCACGTTGACAAAAGACAAATAATTCACTACTTTAGCCCACCGGTGTGTTGAAGAGTGAATCCACAACATTTACAGTTTGAGTACGACGTTTCGCTGGTAAATACATCCAGCATCATCGGGCAATTCACCAGAATGGTAAAGCCCTCGCTTGCTCCCGGTTTTATAATTATATTTGCTTTTTCGCAGAGCGGTTTCTACGCAGTAAGCGACTTAAATCTCATCTCAGCACGTTTGAAATGTCACCCCCGAGTGGCAGTTGTCGCTGTGCGGCACAAAGCGACTTCAGCACCTGGCCTGCAAACTGCCATTAGTCTGCCAGTGGGGGGGTAAAGTTGCTACGTGTTATTCCAATTGAGTAATTTGCGGGTAATTTTTCGACCATTGGAATGTTTTGTCATACGAGCTACATTGGATGTGCTTTCAGCTCTGGGAGGAAACTCGTGCAGAACAAGGGGAGAACGTACAAACAATACCACCTCACGAAGACAAAGATACCCCGTGTAGCCTTAACAGACTATTGGGACAAGTGCTGTTAGCAAGCAGCGCCTATGAAGGCCGGTACGGCACACGAGGGGGTGGATGGCCAGCACCACGCCCGGCTGCCTTTGCCTCCGGAGTGGAGATGTTCACACACCACACCAGATTCTGATTTTGAGGCTGAGTCAAGACACATCCCCCCCCAATATTCAAATATGCTCAAAATGTCCCCCCCAATACATTGCTATAAAATAGATTTCTGTTTATATGATTGTGGTTATGGTTGTACTTTATTCATCCATAATCTCTGCCATTACATACAATGAAACAAGAAAAGGTAAAAATTAAAAACAGAGGAATGTAAAACAATACACTATTAGACATTATTGTAAAAAAAGTCCATCCTATGTGTTAGTGAATTTTTAAATATTTCAGGCAGGAAATGGCAGGAAATTAATTTTCAAATTTAGATTTTTTTCTGGGGGGAGACCCCCAGACCACCTGGAAGATTTGATCCCCCCCAATGTTGACTCCATGGCTACGGCCTTGGGCTGAGTCGACCTAGGGGAGGCCCAGAATCAGTTCAGATAATCGTCACCAGTGTTGACCATGAACGGTAATCGAAATCGGGCCACCGGGTTCATGGCACAGCCGCTCTTCACACAAAGACATACAGACATATGCAATCACACACACACACACGAAGATATAAACTCCACAAAGGTGCACTCGTCAGGAATCTAACCCAGGCTCTTCTTGCTGTGACGCACGAGTGTGACCACTGTGCCGTACTGTAACATATGGTACAGATATAATGGGAGGCTGATCGATGCCCGGGTGCGGTCAAGGGATGGCTCCCTATTGCTCAACCACGTTATGTATGCTGATGATTTGGTAATAGCTGCTCAGTCAGAGGAGGAGTTGGAGACGCTGCTGCTGAGACTGGAGCGTGCCACTAAGAGGTGGGGCCTTACTATCAGCCCCACCAAAACTAAGCACCTGCCTCGGTATTTTGTAGCATCGGACACTCCACCTCCACAACTCCCAATCGGTGATGGGGCAGTTGTGGAGAGAGTGGAGAGTTTCCCATACCTGGGCAGTGTGCTTATGACTGGCTCCAGTTTAACAGCAGAGGTCTCACTCCGAATCAGTCGAGCGGCAATATCTTTTCATCGGTTGCGTAACGCTGTGTGGAAGCTACCTGGTCTGTCGCTCCGCACTAAGCTTCAGGTCTTCTCGGCCACGGTCATTCCATCCCTTCTCTATGCTTGCAAAACGTGGACCCCCCTAATGGAACATCTTCGCTGGTTAGAAACATTTAGGCTGGCCTGCCTACGATCCATCCTGGGTTTAACCAGACTGGATTGTGTGAGGAGCTCACAAATCCTTGAAAGATCTGGGCAAGGTCCCATCGGTGAGCTCCTCCGGCGGGCAAGGCTGTGATGGCTGGGTCATGTAGCCCGCATGCCCAGCCACCGCATGCCGAAACAGCTTTTGTTCGGCCGGATTGAGGGGGCTAAGCGGGCGCGGCACGGGCTAGAGAAGAGATGGAGTGATGTGGCACAGGAGGACGTGGAGCTGAGTGGACTTGCCAATGACTGGTACCAGCGGTGTCAAGATCGGCCTCTGTGGAGGAGGCTCGTGAAGGATGCTACTGGGCAGTTGGAGGTAGTCGCCCTCCAACAACAATGGAGGGCGGAGGAGCGACGCTCAGAACAACGAGCGGAGCGCCGGGTGGCTAAAGCACATCAGGTTGGCACAGTAGGGGGCACAGGTGGTGCATCAGCCAGTCATCTCAGTCAGTCGACCCGTGGCACCTGGGTCTGCCCCGTGACCTCCTGCCAACAGGCGTTCGACACTTCACGTGGCCTCAGGGTTCACATAGCCTGGCACAAGCGCCGTGGTGATGTCACCGCCACTTAGTGGCGAATGGCGGTTGTTGTTGTTGTACTGTAACAAAACAACTTAGCGGACCATACACCTTCTTACCGTATACGTGAAGAACATTCCATCAGCCACGCAGCCTTCTGGGAATGTATAATTTGCCAGCATTGGTTCAAGACGAGCAACGGCAATCGATTCAGGAAACCAACCCAGATCCTTGCTGTGTGGCACAAGTGTTAGCACTGCGCTGCCCTGCCGCCTATGTGTAAACACTACGTATGTTGAAAATTATTTTGCACCGCACGTTGCCAACCGCGTTCATTGGAGGTGCGGAGGAAGGACAACAAACTAGATACAAAAAGCAGTTCTAAAGAATGAGTTTTAATCTAAGTGACTGATAAATGCCTAGCTCGAGTGGCTTCCTAATATCAGAAGGAAGAGCGTTTCAGACGGCCGTAGGGGCGCATCTTAAAGCGCGCGATGCGGTGACCGTTTTTGATGGATGGCTGAGCCAAAAGCCGCCGCCGCTGCAAGGATGACTGGAATTCGCAACACGATTCATGCCCGTTGATGAGATAAACTATTCAACTATTTTTAATTTTACCAGGTAAGGCCCACTGAGCTATGTAGCTCGTTTTCAGAAGCAACCTGGCCACAAATGATAGCTCAACGAAGTGGCTTATCACGTGGAAATTTGTAGCAGCCAAATACTCTAAACGCGTGTTTTTAAGATGGAGGGAAAAACTGGAAGATCCGGGGAAAAATCCACACGACCACATGCAAACCCACGACCTCCTGTATACCACGCGAGGTAGTTAACATCTCATAGCCACCATGATGATGATGAGAGAGAGACACAGACCTCCTGTATACCAGGCGAGGTAGTTAACATCTCATAGCCACCGTGGTGATGATGAGAGAGAGACACAGACCTCCTGTATACCAGGCGAGGAAGTTAACATCTCATAGCCACCATGGTGATGATGAGAGAGAGACACAGACCTGTATACCAGGCGAGGGAGTAAACATCTCATAGCCACCATGATGATGAGAGAGACACAGACCTCCTGTATACCAGGCGAAGTAGTTAACATCTCATAACCACCGTGATGATGATGAGAGACACAGACCTCCTGTATACCGGGCGAGGTAGTTAACATCTCATAGCCACCGTGGTGATGATGAGAGAGAGACACAGACCTCCTGTATACCAGGCGAGGTAGTTAACATCTCGATGAGCAAACATATCGCGGTTCATCGGTGGCTTAGCACTTTGTGTGCGCGCGTATCGACCGCGACCCTCCCCCCCCCACCCCACCCCTGCACTTCGCCAGACCCTGGTTCGCCGCGTGCCCGGAGTGGAGGGAGCCCTGCGGGCACGCGTGGTAGAGAGCGAGGCGTACCCGGGGGGTCTCGACGAAGCGTCGCACTCGCGCCACGGCCGCCGCACGCCCAGGAACGTGGCGATGTTCATGCCTCCCGGCACGCTCTACGTGTACCGCATCTACGGGCTGCACTGCTGCCTCAACGTCTCGAGCCGCGGTGAGTTGTGAACATTTTCACTCTCCTCCCCATGCTCCTGCTGGACATCTGGCTGGCGCCAACAATCGCCCAAGCTCTGAGGTCCTATATTTGTATTATTTTGGGTCTCAGTGTCTTGAGACTCGACACTGGGTGAAGAGCCCGGGGCCGGCCCAGAACACGCTGGTGGGACGATGTCGGTCGACTGGCCTAGGAACGCCTGGGAATACCCCAGGAAGAGCTAGAGTCTGTATATAGTAATGTAGTGTTTAGTAGTGTAGTGAATAGTGTAGTAGTGTATAGTAGTGTACAGTAATGTAATGCTGGAGTCTGTCGCCAGGGAAAGGGAGGTCTGGACAACCACTACTCAACATGCTGCCGCCGCGACCCTCACCAGGACAAGTGGATTGAGAAACGAACGAACAGTTAATCATCGATTATCCGGCGCGATCTAACCCCAAAACCTTTATTTACTACTATAATGAGCCAAGAATGTCCACGTCGGCCAGCCCCCCTCATTAATAATCATGAGCGAGTGACATCACTCCAAATGGAGCACCCCCCTCCCCTCATTAATAATCATGAGCAGATGACATCACTCTACATCGAACAGTCACCCTCATTAATAATCATGAACAAGTGACGTCCTCCAAATGGACACCCCACCCCCATTAATAATAATTAAATGGGGGGGCAAGGCGCCTCCTCCCCCCTCCTCAGCGTCAACTTACAACCCTCACTACAAAGGTAGAACCCTCACATCACGTGATCTCCGTAACGCTATTGACACATAGAAGTAAAAAGGACGTCATGATGAACAAGGGATTATAACCTTTAAATGAAATAAGTCTGTGTAACCGCGGCCTTACAAATTGTACACGAATTGATGCCATGAATATCACGTCGCGATCTGCTTTTCGCTTGCAAGTTTCAGATGAACTGCAATACACCCGTCCTTGGACGGGCAAAAGGCTAGTTATGAATAATATTGGTCGCGAAAACCTACTTTTAACATGTTAAATATGAAGAGACAATTAGACATAGATCTGCCATTCACCCTGCCCCCATGCCTCATCTCTTTCTCCCTCTCCCCTCGTGCACAGGAGAGGGCTCGGCCGTTCTTCTCCGTGCTCTGCAGCCACTGGAGGGAGTGGCGACCATGCGTTTGCTCCGCCAGAAGCCGCAGCAGGCCAGCACCAAATGTGGCCGTGGCCAGTTGCCGGATCGAAAGCTCTGCAATGGCCCCGGCAAGCTGTGCCAAGCCCTGTCCATCAGCTGTGCCCTCGACCGCACGGACGCCGCCTCGGAGGACTCGGAGCTGTGGTTTGAGAGGGGAGAGGGCGACGTGGGGGAGGAATCGATGGTGGCGGCGAGGAGAGTGGGGATCACCTCGGCCGGAGACTGGGCCGAGAGACCGTGGAGGTTTTACATCCGTGGCAATGAATGTGTGAGCGTGGTCGACAAGACAGCTGAGCAGTTGGCACTGAGGGTGACCCAAAAACAGGATACCGGAGATCAGGGTTAGGGGAGAGATTTGTTTTGAGACTCAGCTCCAGGAAACTAGGTCTCAGCGTCTTGAGACTCGGTTCCAGGAGACCAGGCATCAGGATCTTGAAACTTTGCTCCAGGAGACCGGGTCTCAGTGTCTTGAGACTCAGCTCCAGGATTTAATGCAATCATACTCCAGCAAATACTTTATTGAACTTAAATGCTATTTTATTGCATCTCAATAAAGAATGTATTTTGTATCAATAATGAACGTGGTCTAACAACATCACGGGTGTATTTAATATAGATACTTGTATGCATTAGACGTACAGGGTGATCCATTTGTACAGAATCCACAGATTTATATTGACTCTCCGACTCTCCTATCAACAGCTAATTGATCATCGTGAAGACGAAGAAAGGAATGGACTGGGCCACGATGTCGGGGATGAAAGGGGAGGAGGGGAGAGAGAGAGGGAAGCAACGAACAGTAGGTAGCACAGAGCGGAGTCTGTTTTCACAGGGGAAGGCGGTGGGAAAGAGGGGGAGGGATTCAGAGTGGGTGTGGCCACACAAGTCACGTGATGTACGGGAGTCTTGGGCTGATTTAGAGATAGTGGCTTCTCCATATTCACTTCCGTGGGGTGGCTATAAACGGATCAACCTGTACATTGCATATACACTCTCTTTATATGTATCACGTATACGTTCCGCATGTGTCGATGGAAGAATCTGGCACAAGCTGCACACGGGGGCCATCAACTTTGGTTTCAGCTGCTCAAATATCCCTGCAGAGCCACAAGGCGGTACTCATGTTATCTACCCGGTCTGTGGAATCCTCATCAGAGTGCTTGGTGTGGTGTGTGTGAATGTGTGTACATGTGTGTGTGCGTCTTTGTGGGGGGAGCGGCGGTGCAGCGGTTAGCGCCGCTGCACTGTGAAACCCAGAGACCTGAATTCGATTCCCACTCACGGCCAACATTGGTAACAAATATCCGAACTGGTCCTGTGTCTTTGCTAGGTAGAGTCGGCCTTAAGTGAGTACCTGGTGCAGTGTTTAAACTTGCGTCCTGCAGGTTGTTATGTCTGCTCACTAACATCACTTGCCCAAAATAGTCCGAAAAGGCTATATGGGGGAACTTTGTCTTTTGAATGTGTGTATAATCATATGTATATGACAGGGTAATGTACATACATGTATGTAACTGAACATTTTAAAATGTTTCACAATGCCCTTGATAATATGTGTATATATAACATTTAAGGTACGGTATATATTAAAAATATAAATGTATAGAGATTGGTCTCAAAGTAAAGTATCTTTTTATATCATAAATCATTATGTGTAAACAGCAGTTCCTTGTGAGTCCTCTACTCAAGCAGGCGATTGGTGATGGACACACGGTGGTAGAGTGTCTCTCTCGCTAAAGGATTCATAATGGCCGTGTCACAGCTGGAATCCTGGGTTCAAGTCCTGGGTCTAGATGTCGGTCTCTGTCAAAGAGTTCATTCAGTCCGTGCTGAACGGCACTGAGCCAGAACCACCGAGATGCTGGGTTCAAGCCCCTTCTGCGTTTCTCTCTCAAAGGGTTCGTAATGGCCGCGTCAGATCAGACTTATGGAGCCAGCACAGCTTACATCGTGGATTAAAGGTTTTGGATGTCTTTTATGCTCACAATGGCCAAGGCGGAGGCGCTGGCTTCAAGATTTGAGATTTAAGGCTGGGTGTCTTCACTATCACCACTACCACCATCACCACCACGACCACACACAGCCATCATGATCACCACCACCACCACCACACACAGCCATCATGATCACCACCACCACACACAGCCAACATCACCACCACCATCACCACACAGCCATCATGATCACCACAACCACCACCACACGTAGCCATCATGATCACCACCACGACCACCACACAGCCATCATGATCATCACCACCACCGCACACAGCCATCATGATCATCACCACCACAACAAAGCCATCGTGATCATCACCACAACCACACACAGCCATCATGATCATCACCACCACAACAAAGCCATCATGATCACCACCACCATTGCCATTGCTACCATCACAACCATAACCACCACAATCACCACCAAAACTGCAACCACCACCATCCTCACCACCAACATTACGTCCACCATCTTTGTTGATCACAATAATTTTCAGGAACACCATCAGCAAAACCACCATCAATAATCACCATAATTTTCACACCCTCCACTATCACCACCATGACCACCACCACCATCACCACTCATCACCACCACCACTACCACCACCATGACCACTACCACCACCATTCATCGTCACCAGCACCAGCACCACGACCACCACTACCACCCTCTAGTCGTGAAACCTCTGCAGGAGGTCGCAGGTCTTCCTGTCCACCACCTCGTAGAGCTTCCGGGCCCGGCGCTCGCTCACGGCTCTCACGTAGCTGTCGGGGTAGAGCACGGCGATGCCCTCCTGCACCTCGCCCATCACCAGCAAGGGGCCGGCCTCCGCACTGGTGATGTTGGGGCACGGGCAGCCCCAGTCGACCTGCAGCATGGTGATCTCCAGCAGCTTGATATTGAATGCCTTGAGGCCCATCTTGTCGTCCTTAAGCACCTCGTCGACCGTGAAGCGCACGAGGCCCGCGTCCGTGCCATCGTCCACCACCTCGAGCATCCGCCCGACGATGGCGAAGTCGCTGCGGCAGAAACTCGGCACGATTTTGTTCTTCGTCCTGCACGGCCGGCAAACGGACGAAGACGACGACGACGCCGCTGCCGCCGCCGCCGAGGAAGACAAAGAGGAGGAGAATGAGGAGGCCGGTGGCGAGCCGACGGAGGTGCCGGAGGTCAGGGGACACGCGCGCTCGCACGCCGAGCGGCTCGCGAAGCTGTTGCCGTTGCCCTCGCAGCCCCCGTAGAGGAAGGTGGCGCAGCGCTTGCCCAGCGGGTTGTAGCTCCACCGCGTCTCCCACGCCTTGCAGGGGCCCTGCACGGGAGGCAGCGAGCACACGCGTGCCGTCTCGTTGACGCATGCGGCGCGGCAGTCCTCGTGCGTCTCGAACGCGTTGCTGTGGCCTCCGATGGTCGTGGTGGTGGTGCCGCCAGACGGGCCTCCTGTCGATGCTGCTGCGGCTGCCGAAGAAGAAGATGATGATGATGATGGAGATGATCCCAATGCATCGTCGTCACCGCTGTCAGCACCGCCAACACCGCCACCACCACCAGATAATGACAGTGAAGAAAATGGGGAGGGTCTTCTATTGAGACCGCCACCATCAGCACCACCACCAGTAGCAGCAGCAGCAGCAGCGGCAGCACCCCACGCTTGTCCAAAATTGTCACCTTGAGCAGACGCTGCGGCTCGTGGTGGAGACGCAGCACCTTGAGGAGGCCTGCTTCCTGCAGCTCCTTGCACGAAGCCTCTGTGTCCTCCTCCACCACCACCGCCACCACCTCCACCACTGCTTGATGCCGATCTCCTGCAGTCGCCCCGGAGGAAAGTGTAACACCCATTGCGCCGCGCGTCATAAAACCAGAAGACGTGCTGATTGCCTCCGCAGCCCGCGTAGCGGTCCGCCGGCTGATGACAAAAGTCCTGCTGATGATTCTGGTGATGCTGCTGCTGGTGGTAGCTGTGGTGATGAAGATGATGGTGATGGCTGTGGTGGTGGTTGTTGCTGTTGTGGCCAGACGATGAGGAGGAAGAGGAGGACGCGGGAGGAAATGGGATGACGGAGAGAGTGAAGCTGGCCCGGACGGCGCCGGCGCGGTTCGACACGAGGCACGTGTAGCTGCCGCTGTCCTCCTGGCGCGCGTTGTAGATGACCAGCTGCCCGATGTTGGTCACCACGGCATTGCCGTACACGTGGTCGGGCCTCATCACGATCACCGCGTCCGCCCCGGAGGGGCCTAGTCCAACAAACTCGGGAGTCTCGCCGCCAGCACCACCAGCAGCACCACCACCACCAACAGCACCACCACCACCAGCAGCATCACCACCACCAGCAGCACCACCAGCAGCACCACCACCAGCAGCACCATCACCACCCGCAGCACCACCAGCAGCACCACCACCTCCTCTTGTTGAACCTCTTGCCCCTCCTGCTGCTGCTGCCGCTGCTACTGCGCTGGTGGCAGCGGCGGTGCTGCCGCCGGCGCCGTGCCGGCTCTGTGGGTGCTGCAGCTGCTTCTCCCACGTCACCTCGGCCTTGGAGCGAGTTCCGATACCACACACGAAGCTCACCGTGCCTCCGGCGCGGATCACCTGAGCGGAGAGAGACGCACCAGTGGAGGTCTATGGGGTTAGTGTGAGTCTATGGGGTTCAGTGTGAGTCTTTGGATTCAGTGTGAGACTATGCGTTTGGTGTGAGTCTATGGGTTCAGTCTGAGTCTATAGGTTCAATGTGAGTCTATGGGTTCACCTTACCTGGTGGACTGGGTTCGACAGGAGAACGGGGGCCACGACTTCTTCTGCCGGGGCCCGGGGAGGTTCATCATGGCCCAGTCTTCCGGAGTCTGGCTGGGCGGTAGTGGCGGGTGTGGGAGAGTTGATTGAAGTGGCCTCTGATCCCCCGAGGGATTGGTTCGATACCTGCGTGCTGGACTCGGAAGAGGCAGCTGACCAGGATAGCTGAAACCTAGGGGTTGGAGTCAGCGTCGGGTTAAGGCAATGATAGTGTAATGACAGTATCGCTATCTAGCGGCCTTAAATGCTAACTATGGGTATGGGTGCAGCATAAGGTGACACACACGCGAGCGACCACAAGGGGAGGATAACTAGGCCAACAACGGTCAAGAGGTGATAGATCTGGAAGCTCCCAGAACCCGTGAGGAAGCATGAGAAGAGGGGCGTGGCCAGGGGCGGAGCTTGGCCATGCTGGGTGAATATAGGGGAGAGGCGAGCGGGGTTTTTGTAGGGGTTCGGGGTCCTGGCTGTCGTCGCTGTTGTCGCTGTCGTCTCTTTGTTGCCGTCGTCGCTGTGTCGTCAGTCATCTACGTAGCCTTCGTCGCCGTCGTCGCTAGAGAGTCACCCAGCTATAGAGTTGTATGTCACCGTCGTTGCTATGTGGTCGACTTCGCTATAATTTGGTCAGCGCTGTTGTTACTCTGTGACCCTGTCGTCAAAAGTATTAGTCGTGTCTGAAGACGTCTCATTACAATAGTATGTGTAAATATATATACTGTATTCTAATTGTTTAGATTTTTATAATTTGATGTTGTTGAGGAGTAACGTGACGATGGTGCGTTTAGTGGCAGATTAGTGTGTATCTATGTGTTTCTATGTATCGCTATGTCTCTATTTATCTCGATGTGTTTCTATGTATCTATATGTCTCTACGTCTCTATGTATCTCTGTGTATCTCTATGCATCGCTATGTATCTCTATGCATCTATGCATCTATATGTATCTCAATGCATCCCTCTGCATCTCTATGCATCGCTATGTATGTCTATGCATCTCTATGTATCTCAATGCATCCCAACGCATCTCTACACATCATCTCTAGCTCCTCCGTGCGGGAGACACCTGCAGGGCACGACCGCTAGCGCGACCCCCTTGTTGCACGCCTCGGCGTCCATGTAGCAGCGGTTGTAGTAGGTGAGGCCATCTGACGCGCACGTGAAGCTGGGGTCCGGCTCACAGCGGTCCCTGCACCTGCACCTCACCACGTGGCACGCCGGGAGATGCCCGTGGCCAGGGATTATAAATATATATACAATATAATACATATATACACAATATAATTACAGGGACTCCTCCACTTGTGAACATTTGATTTGCGAACTTTCAGAGACACGAACAAAACCTGTCCCGTATGTCGAGTTGCCTGTTCAGACCAAGAGTCATAAGTTTAACCGTCGCGCGATAGATGTCAGTGGTAGCATCTACATCTGCAGAACGTGAAGAACCAGTGGCATCTACATCTGCAAAACGTGAAGAACCAGTGGTATCTAAATCTGCAGAACATGAAGAACGAGCGGCATCTACATTTGAAGAACATGAACAATAAGTGGCATCTACAGCTGCAGAACACGAAGAACCAGTGGCATCTACATCTGCAGAACGTGAAGAACCAGTGGCATCTACATTTGCAGAACGTGAAGATTCAGTGGCATCTACATCTGCAAAACGTGATGAAGAAGAACCAGTGGCATCTACATCTGCAGAACGTGAAGAACCAGTAGCATCTACATTTGCAGAACGTGAAGATTCAGTGGCATCTACATCTGCAGAACGTGATGAACCAGTGGCATCTATAACTGCAGGACGTGAAGAACCAGTGGCATCTACATCTGCAGAACGTGAAGAACCAGTAGCATCTACATTTGCAGAACGTGAAGATTCAGTGGCATCTACATCTGCAGAACGTGATGAACCAGTGGCATCTATAACTGCAGGACGTGAAGAACCAGTGGCATCTACATTTGCAGAAAGTGAAGAACCAGTGGCATCTGCAGAACGTGAAGAACCAGTGGCATCTCCATCGACAGAATGTGGAGACCCAGTGGCATCTATATCTGCAGAATACCAAGAACCAGTGGCATCTACAGCTGCAGAACGTGAAGAACCAGTGGCATCTACATCTGCAGAACGTGAAGAACCAGTGGAATCTACATCTACAGAACGTGAAGAACCAGTGGCATCTACATTTGCAAATCGTGAAGAACCAGTGGCATCTGCAGCTGCAGAACATGAAGAACCAGTGGCATCTACAACTGCAGGACGTGAAGAACCAGTGGCATCTACATCTACAGAACGTGAAGAACCAGTGGCATCTACATCTGCAGAACGTGATGAACCAGTGGCATCTACAACTGCAGGACGTGAAGAACCAGTGGCATCTACATTTGCAGAATACCAAGAACCAGTGGCATCTACAGCTGCAGAACGTGAAGAACCAGTAGCATCTACATCTGCAGAACGTGAAGAACCAGTGGAATATACATCTACAGAACGTGAAGAACCAGTGGCATCTATATTTGCAGAACGTGAAGTTTCAGTGGCATTTACAATTGCAGGACGTGAAGAACCAGTGGCATTTCCATCGACAGAATGTGAAGACCCAGTGGCATCTACATCTGCAGAATACCAAGAACCAGTGGCATCTACAGCTGCAGAACATGAAGAACCAGTGGCATCTACAACTGCAGGACGTGAAGAACCAGTGGCATCTGCATCTGCAGATCGTGAAGAACCAGTGGCATCTACAACTGCAGGACGTGAAGAACCAGTGGCATCTACATCTACAGAACGTGAAGAACCAGTGGTATCTACATCTGCAGCACGTGAAGAACCAGTGGAATCTATATATGCAGAACATGAAGAACCAGAGGCATCTACATGTACAGAACATGAAGAACCAGTGGCATCTACATCTGCCGAATGTGATGAACCAGTGGCATTTACATCTGTAGAACGTGAAGACCCAGTGGCATCTACATCTGCCGAATGTGATGAACCAGTGGCATCTATATCTGTAGAACGTGAAGACCCAGTGGCATCTACATCTGCAGAATACCAAGAACCAGTGGCATCTACAGCTGCAGAACGTGAAGAACCAGTGGCATCTACATCTACAGAACGTGAAGAACCAGTGGCATCTACATTTGCAGTTCGTGAAGATTCAGTGGCATCTACATCTGCAGAACGTGAAGAACCAGTGGCATTTCCATCTACAGAATGTGAAGACCCAGTGGCATCTACATCTGCAGAATACCAAGAACCAGTGGAATCTACAGCTGCAGAATATGAAAAACCAGTGGCATCTACAACTGCAGGACGTGAAGAACCAGTGGCATCTACATCTACAGAACGTGAAGAACCAGTGGCATCTACATCTGCAGCACGTGAAGAACCAGTGGAATCTCTATATGCAGAACATTAAGAACCAGAGGCATCTACATCTACAGAACATGATGAACCAGAGGCATGTACATCTGCAGAATGTGATGAACCAGTGGCATCTACATCTGGAGAACGTGAAGAACCAGTGGCATCTACATCTGTAGTTCGTGAAGATTCAGTGGCATCTACATCTGCAGAACGTGAAGAACCAGTGGCATTTCCATCTACAGAATGTGAAGACCCAGTGGCATCTACATCTGCAGAATACCAAGAACCAGTGGAATCTACAGCTGCAGAATATGAAAAACCAGTGGCATCTACAACTGCAGGACGTGAAGAACCAGTGGCATCTACATCTATAGAACGTGAAGAACCAGTGGCATCTACATCTGCAGCACGTGAAGAACCAGTGGAATCTCTATATGCAGAACATTAAGAACCAGAGGCATCTACATCTACAGAACATGATGAACCAGAGGCATGTACATCTGCAGAATGTGATGAACCAGTGGCATCTACATCTGGAGAACGTGAAGAACCAGTGGCATCTACATCTGCAGAACGTGAAGAATCAGTGGCATCTACATTTGCAGAACGTGAAGATTCAGTGGCATCTATATCTGCAGAACGTGATGAACCAGTGGCATCTACAACTGCAGGACGTGAAGAACCAGTGACATCTACATCTGCAGAACGTGAAGAACCAATGGCATCTACATCGACAGAATGTGAAGACCCAGAGGCATCTACATCTGCAGAATACGAAGAATCAGTGGCATATATATCTGCAGAACGTGAAGAACCAGTGGCATCTACATGTGCAGAACGCGAAGAACCGGTGGCATCTATATCTGCAGAACGTGAAGAATCAGTGGCATCTACATGTGCAGAACGTGAAGAACCAGTGGATATCTACAAATGCAGAACATGAAGAACTAGTGGAATCTATATATGCAGAACATGAAGAACCAGAGGCATCTACATCTGCAGAATACGAAGAACCAGTGGCATTTACATCTGCAGAACGTGGAGAACCATTGGCATCTACATCTTCAGAACGTGAAAAAACAGTGACATCTACAATGCAGGACGTGAAAAACCAGTGACATCTACATCTGCAGAACGTGAAGAACCAGTGGCATCTACATCTGCACAACATGAAAAACCAGTGGCATCTATATCTGCAGAACATGAAGAACCAGAGGCATCTACATCTGCAGAACAATAAGAACCAGTGGCATCTACATCTGCAGAACGTGGAGAACCAGTGGTATATACATCTATAGAACGTGAAGAACCAGTGGCGTCAACATCTGCAGAATGTAAAGAACCAGTGGCATCTGCAGAACATGAACAACCAGTGGCATCTACATCCGGAGAACATGAAGAACCAGTGGCATTTACATCTGCAGAACATCAAGAACCAGTGGCATCTGCAGAATATGATGAACCAGTGATATCTACATCTACAGGAGATTATACAACTTTTAAACCATTCTCCGTGTTTAGTGTACACGCCATACAACGTGTTTGGAATCGCCAGGAGTAAAGTTAGACGTACGAACAAATAGACTTCCGAACAAACCCCTGGAACCTAACTCGTTCTTAACTAGAGAAGTCCTTGTATTGCATATATATATACAATATGTACAGTAAACTCTCGATTATCCACACTAATGTCGGAGAGGATGGCTGCGGAAAATTCTTAATCGCAGATAGTCCAAAATATAACAATTTCCCGCGGATCTCAATGCCAAAAACCATTAATCTAGGGTATAAATAAAAATAACGACATAAATGATCCAATAAATTACTCAAAATGAAGCACACCTGACGATTTCGATTGTTACTCTTTGTATTTAGAACGAATACTAACGATCGACCGATCGATGCGCGAGATCAGTGATACACTTTCCTGCTCCAGCCCAGCAGAAAACTCGGCCCACTTAGTGGATGACAACAGCAGAGCCACGCCAATCAACATCAAACTCCGCCCCACTATTGTAAAGATATGGCAACTACTGTACTGTAGGGCGATCTCACGTGGATTCCGGATTAACCGGAGCAACACACATTTATTGCACGTGACTTTGTAATACACATTTCTAAGAATAACAATGTTGTATCACTGTTTTTAGATTATCAATTTGGCCTTATGGGGAAACATACATGAGTTATTACTTTAATTTGTCAAAATCTCCGCAACTGGATAATCGAGAGTCTACTGTAACTACAACTAAACTACTTAAACGTGTATATGTGTAGCAGGTAAGGCCTCACTGAGCTGCGTAGCTTTTTTTCAGAAGTGACCATCTGGCTATCACAAATGAAAGCTCAACGTAGTAGAATTATCATCACGTGGACATTTATAGCAGCCAAATATGAACTCTAAACGCCTTGATTCCCAATGATGAAGGGGATAACCAGAGGACCCGGAGCAAACATCTACGTGACCCCGCAGAGAGAGACACGCAAACTCCAAATATACAGAAGGTGGCAGGGTCTAGATCGAGCCCGCAACCTCCTGTATACCAGGCGAGGTAGTTAACATCTCCTAGCCACTGTGATGATGAGAGAGAGAGAGACACGCAAACTCCAAATATACAGCAGCAGGCGTCAGGGTCGGGATCGAGCCTGCGACGTCCTGCATACCAGGCGAGGTGGTTAACATCTCGCCATGAGTTAACGTCTGACTCGACTCACCTTCCACGTGGTTGTGCCAAGGTTACAACAAACATCTGCGATTAGTAAATAATGACAAAAACAATTACGACTCCTCACCTGCAGATTGGCTGCCCATCCCATAGGTCGCATCGTGACCCCTGCTGGGCGCAGATGACCCGGGCGCAGGTGGCTCCCGGTCCCCGTTGTCTCCCAAAAGGGGGTCTCCTCTCGTCGGCCGAGTACGAGGAGGAGGAGGTGGAAGGGGCCACGAAGCGGGAAGCCACGCAGCTGCGAGAGCCGCACACGTTCTGGCAGCATTTCTCGTGGTTCTCACACACCTGGTGGTGAGGGTGGTGGTGAGGGTGGTGGTGAGGGTGGTGGTGAGGGTGGTGGTGAGGGTGGTGAGGGTGGTGATGGTGGTGATGGTGGTGAGAGTGGTGAGGGTGGTGGTGAGGGTGGTGGTGAGGGTGGTGGTGAGGGTGGTGGTGGTGAGGGTGGTGGTGAGGGTGGTGAGGGTGGTGAGTGTGGTGAGGGTGGTGGTGAGGGTGGTGAGGGTGGTGGTGAGGGTGGTGAGGGTGGTGGTGAGGGTGGTGGTGAGGGTGGTGGTGAGTATGGTGGTGAGGGTGGTGAGGGTGGTGAGGGTGGTGGTGAGGGTGGTGAGGGTGGTGGTGAGGGTGGTGGTGAGGGTGGTGGTGAGGGTGGTGGTGAGTATGGTGGTGAGGGTGGTGAGGGTGGTGAGGGTGGTGGTGAGGGTGGTGAGGGTGGTGGTGAGGGTGGTGGTGAGGGTGGTGGTGAGGGTGGTGAGGGTGGTGGTGAGGGTGGTGAGGGTGGTGGTGAGGGTGGTGGTGAGGGTGGTGAGGGTGCTGAGTGTGGTGAGGGTGGTGGTGAGGGTGGTGAGGGTGGTAGTGAGGGTGGTGAGGGTGGTGAAGGTGGTGAGGGTGGTGGTGAGGGTGGTGAGGGTGGTGGTGAGGGTGGTGGTGAGGGTGGTAGTGAGGGTGGTGGTGAGTATGGTGGTGAGGGTGGTGAGGGTGGTGGTGAGGGTGGTGAGGGTGGTGGTGAGGGTGGTGGTGAGGGTGGTGGTGAGGGTGGTGAGGGTGCTGAGTGTGGTGAGGGTGGTGGTGAGGGTGGTAGTGAGGGTGGTGAGGGTGGTGAAGGTGGTGAGTGTGGTGGTGAGGGTGGTGAGTGTGGTGGTGAGGGTGGTGAGGGTGGTGAGGGTGGTGGTGAGGGTGGTGAGGGTGGTGATGGTGGTGAGGGTGGTGAGGGTGGTGATGGTGGTGATGGTGAGGGTGGTGAGGGTGGTGAGGGTGGTGATGGTGGAGGGTGGTGAGGGTGGTGATGGTGGTGATGGTGGTGATGGTGAGGGTGGTGAGGGTGGTGAGGGTGCTGAGGGTGGTGAGGGTGGTGGTGAGTGTGGTGGTGAGGGTGGTAAGGGTGGTGAGGGTGGTGAGGGTGGTGGTGAGGGTGGTGAGGGTGGTGAGTGTGGTGGTGAGGATGGTGAGGGTGGTGAGGGTGGTGAGGGTGGTGTTGAGGGTGGTGGTGAGGGTGATGGTGAGGATGGTGAGGGTAGTGGTGAGGGTGGTGAAGGTGGTAGTGAGGGTGGTGGTGAGGGTGGTGGTGAGGGTGGTGGTGAGGGTGGTGACGGTGGTGGTGAGGGTGGTGAGGGTGGTGAGGGTGGTGGTGAGGGTGGTGGTGAGGGTGGTGGTGAGGGTGGTGAGGGTGGTGGTGATGGTGGTAAGGATGGTGGTGTGAGGGTGGTGGTATGGTGAAGGTTGTGAGTGTGGTAAGGGTTGTGCGGGTGGTGGCGGTAATGGTAATGGTGGTGGTAGGTGTGGTGATGGCCGTGAGTGTGGTGAAGGTGGTGGTGAGTGTGGTGATGGTGATGATGGTGAGTGTGGTGATGGTGAGTGTGGTGGTGATGGTTGGGGTAGTGAGGGTGGTGGTGATGGTGATGTTGGTGAGCGTGATGATGGTCGTAAGTGTGGTGAGGGTGGTGGTGAGTGTAGTGGTGAGGGTGGTGAGGGTGGTGAGGGTGGTGGTGAGGGTGGTGAGGGTGGTGATGGTGGTGAGGGTGGTGAGGGTGGTGATGGTGGTGATGGTGAGGGTGGTGAGGGTGGTGAGGGTGGTGATGGTGGAGGGTGGTGAGGGTGGTGATGGTGGTGATGGTGAGGGTGGTGAGGGTGGTGAGGGTGCTGAGGGTGGTGAGGGTGGTGGTGAGTGTGGTGGTGAGGGTGGTAAGGGTGGTGAGGGTGGTGAGGGTGGTGGTGAGGGTGGTGAGGGTGGTGAGTGTGGTGGTGAGGATGGTGAGGGTGGTGAGGGTGGTGAGGGTGGTGTTGAGGGTGGTGGTGAGGGTGATGGTGAGGGTGGTGAGGGTAGTGGTGAGGGTGGTGAAGGTGGTAGTGAGGGTGGTGGTGAGGGTGGTGGTGAGGGTGGTGGTGAGGGTGGTGACGGTGGTGGTGAGGGTGGTGAGGGTGGTGAGGGTGGTGGTGAGGGTGGTGGTGAGGGTGGTGGTGAGGGTGGTGGTGATGGTGGTAAGGATGGTGGTGTGAGGGTGGTGGTATGGTGAAGGTTGTGAGTGTGGTAAGGGTTGTGCGGGTGGTGGCGGTAATGGTAATGGTGGTGGTAGGTGTGGTGATGGCCGTGAGTGTGGTGAAGGTGGTGGTGAGTGTGGTGATGGTGATGATGGTGAGTGTGGTGATGGTGAGTGTGGTGGTGATGGTTGGGGTAGTGAGGGTGGTGGTGATGGTGATGTTGGTGAGCGTGATGATGGTCGTAAGTGTGGTGAGGGTGGTGGTGAGTGTAGTGATGATGGTCAGTGTGGTCAGGGTGGTGGTGGTGAGGGTGGTGGTATTGTTGAGTGTGGTGATATTGGTGAGGGTGGTGGTGAGTGCGGTGATTGTGGTGAGGGTGGTGTTGATGGGTGGTGAGTGTGGTGGTAATGGTGATGAGGGTGGTAGTGATGGTGGTGAGTGTGCTGGTAATGGTGGCGATGGTGAGTGTGTTGATGGTGGTGTTTTGGTGTGTTTGGGGATGGTGGTGAGTGTGTTGGTGGTGAGTATTGCAATGGTGGTGAGTGTGGTAATTGTTGGTGAGTATGGTGATGGTGGTGAGTGTGGTGGTAATGGTGGTGATGGTGAGTGTGTTGATGGTGGTGTTTTGGTGTGTATGGGGATGGTGGTGAGTGTGTTGGTGGTGAGTATTGCAATGGTGGTGAGTGTGGTAATTGGTGGTGAGTATGGTGATGGTGGTGAGTGTGTTGGTGGTGAGTATGGTGATGGTGGTGAGTGTGGTAATTGGTGGTGAGTATTGCAATGGTGGTGAGTGTGGTAATTGGTGGTGAGTATGGTGATGGTGGTGAGTGTGGTAATTGGTGGTGAGTATTGCAATGGTGGTGAGTGTGGTAATTGGTGGTGAGTATGGGGATGGTGGTGAGTGTGTTGGTGGTGAGTATTGCAATGGTGGTGAGTGTGGTAATTGGTGGTGAGTATGGTGATGGTGGTGAGTGTGGTAATTGGTGGTGAGTATGGTGATGGTGGTGAGTGTGGTGGTAATGGTGGTGATGGTGAGTGTGTTGATGGTGGTGTTTTGGTGTGTATGGGGATGGTGGTGAGTGTGGTAATTGGTGGTGAGTATGGTGATGGTGGTGAGTGTGGTAATTGGTGGTGAGTATGGTGATGGTGGTGAGTGTGGTAATTGGTGGTGAGTATGGTGATGGTGGTGAGTGTGGTAATTGGTGGTGAGTATGGTGCTAGACCCACGTGGTCGGCCGTGCATTCCTTCTCGCAGGTGCTCTGCGCGTCGACCCAGAGGTTGGGGTTCACCTCGTTCGGACACAGCCCAGCGTGGGAATAGCGCACGCGGTGGGGGGCCGAGGAGCCCCCCAGAGACACGGGCCCCCCCACCACCCCCACGGGGCTCCCCTCAATCAACAACGGCAGCGGTGGCGGCAAGAGGAGCAGGAGCAGCAGCAGGAAGAGGGACAGAGACGGATGGCAGTCGCGCGGACACATTTGTGAATTTCTGCGGCTCTAAAAATCGAATGTTCGTTTTATTCACCCCCCCCCCCCTTCTATTCCACCTTCTGGTTCTTTAATAGCTGCCTCTGGTGGCAGACCCCCACCCTGTTCCGCAAGCAGTGAGCTGAGAAAAGGAATTTCAGGGCTGCGCCCGACGCCTATCCCCCGTGTCGTGAATCAATAGCCCCTTCAACATTAACCTGGCCTAGTTAATTGCTTCGATGTTGTAGTTAGAGAGTTTATTTTTTCGCAGATTAAATCTATAGTGTCTACAACCTTTCTGTTATTAGTGTTAATATTGCGTTGATTCTTAATTTGTTCGAATGTTATTTTCATGACGATCAGCCGCGTTTGCCATCAATGTTGGCAAATTACAAATTGCGCATCAGGCGACCTCGATACGAATGGGAAGCTCTCGTCGAAATAAGCAGCAGTAGCAGCAGCAGCGGCTACAATATTCAACAACTTTGCTCTGGAAGCTAAGCAAAGAAAGTCTCTCAAGTCTGCTGAGCAAAATGATACTCACATTGAGAGCGCTGTCACGTTTGCCAGATTCACCATTTGTCCGCACATTTTGTGAAATTGATTTAACTCTCCCGCTGAATGCTATTGCAGCTGTAGATAATTAAGAATAAAAACAAATATTACACGTGCTTAATAACAATTGGTGATCAAGATGCAAAGAGTTTAGAATATATACCGAATATACGCGTACATTTGGTGAAGGCTAATTTTACAATCACAGCGCCTGTGTTAAATGTATAATTATTATCTTATAGATTAAAATGTGTCAAGAGGTGAATCGACTCTCAAGATGTACCTGGTTCTAATCTAAAGACTCACGCACAAAGACAAAGATTCCCCGTGTAGCCTGTAACAGACTGTTGGGGCAAGTGCTGTTAGCAAAGCACACCATCAGACACATGCACCGATATGCACCCACATTCTAGTAGACACACGCACAAATACCAACATGCATGCACTCACATGTATGATATATGTACTTACAAATACACACAAGGACAAACCTACACACACTCATACACGTGCAAAATAAAATCACATGCACGTGTTTTCATATAGCTTACTCACTTATATATAAACACACCAGACACACTCCCCATACACAGTGCTAGCGACTGACTTGCACAGAGACACAATCGCAGGCGCAGCTATCAGGGGTCGTTATAACCTTAAGCACAATGAAGGCGTCTAGGAGGAAGACGGGAGGAGTTAGCAGGTCGGAGATGTTAAGAAGATTCACTCTTACCAAGAGTGAACGTGGGTTTTAAAGGAGCAGAGCTACAGCTGGAGAGAGCGAGAGGGTGGTCGCTTTGGGGAGTGTTGTAGGTGGGTGAGTGGGGGGAGCGGTGGCGCAGCGGTTAGCGCTGCGCTGTCGCTACGAACCCGGCCACCCGAGTTCGATTCCCGCTCGCGGCCACACAACACCCGGTCTCGATTGTCTGAACCGGTCCTGGGCCTCCCCTAGGTCGACTCAGCCTCAAATGAGTACCCGGTGCGGTGTTTAAACATCGCCACTGGGGAGACAAAGGCGGCTTGGCGTGGTGCTGGCCACCCACCCCTCGTGTGCCGTGCCGGCCTTCATAGGTGCTGCTACTCGCTAACAGAACTTTCCCCAACAGTCTGTTAACGGCTATAGGGGGACCTTTGTCTTTGTATACGTGAGTGTATATGCATGTGAGTGTACTGTGTATTGGTAATATGTGAGTGTGTGTAGCTCTGTAATAGGAGCTGCGTTTGTCTCTAATGCCGTCATGTGGACAAATATTATTCGAGTTCCTAGCGCCTGACCTTTCATTCCTGCTCAGTGTGAGAGACTTCATAGAAAAACCACAACCCAAACACTCCGCCTGACACACACACAGATCACACACACACAGACACACAGACCCAGATCAGACACACAGACCCAGATCACACACACACAGATCGCACACACACATACACACACAGAGATCACACACACACAGATCGCAGACACATAGAGATCACACACACAGAGATCACACACACAGATCGCACACACACAGATCACACACACACAGAGATCACACACACAGAGATCACACACACAGAGATCACACACATAGATCGCACACACACATCACAAACACACAGATCGCACACACACAGAGATCACCCACACAGAGATCACACACAGAGATCGCACACACACATCACACACACACAGATCGCACACACACACAAATCACACACACACAGAGATCACACAAATAGATCGCACACACACATCACATACACACAGATCGCACACACAGAGATCACACACACACACAGATCACACACACATCGCACACACACATATTACACACACACAGATCGCACACACACAGAGATCACACACACAGAGATCACACACACAAAGATCACATACACAGATCGCACACACACATATCACACACACACAGAGATCACATACACAGATCGCACACACACATATCACACACACACACAGATCACACACACATCGCACACACACAGATCGCACACACACAGAGATCACACACAGAGATCACACACACAGAGATCATACACACACAGATCACACACACAGAGATCACACACACAGAGATCACACACACAGAGATCACACACACAGAGATCACACACACAGAGATCACACACACAGAGATCACACACACAGAGATCGCACACACAGAGATCGCACACACAGAGATCACACACACAGAGATCACACACAGAGATCGCACACACACACATCGCACACACACACATCGCACACACACAGATCGCACACACACAGGTCACACACACTGATCTCGCAATGAAATGTCAAACGGAGATATTGCACAGATCACGCAAAAAGAGAAATTACACCCACACACAGAAATGTTACACACTGGTCACATAGAGAGATCTTGCAAGGAGATGTTACACAGATCACGTAAGGAGAGAAGATGTTTCAGAAGTTTAGTATGTATGTTGGACAGTGCTCATTGGAGTGTATAGTCGTGTAGTGATAAGTCGTGCAGTATGTAGTAGTGTATATTGTCGTAGTGCAGTGTTTAGTAGCGTGAATTGTATAGTATCGTGTATGTAAGTTGAACTTCTTTCACACCGTACGTTTAGCCAATAGTGGTAATCGTAGGTGCCAGAGAAGGACCAGAAGTTGTACACAATGACATTGCAAATGTAAAAACAAAATGCAACGTTATCGAGATGTAGAGAGAGGGGGACGATCCACGCTCCACAGATGTTACTGGGTCGAGAGTGGAGCAGCAACATGACGCCTGTGAGCGTGGTGGAGTCCCGCAGGTGACTGCAGCGACAAGCGGAGCAGGCGAGGTCCCGGGGAATGAGATCGACTCTCAGAGGAAGAGGGTGAAGTCCTGAACGTCAACACTTTCACTGGAGGGGGTTAGGGGGTCAACTCTGCCCCCCCCCCCCCCGTGAACCAAAAGAGGCAAAAAATAAATCTCTGCTCTTCCTGCGCCGCCAGATGGCAAAAAAAGTCTGCGGGCGCCATCAAAGAAGCGGGGGGGGGGGGGACTGCCATGCTTAAAAAAGAAGCCCTAAATGGAACCCTTCACTCAAATGTTTACACGGAAATCAAAGGGGGCGTCCATCATGGACCCATTACCTCGCTCAGCCTCCTTCAAACGCCTGCGGAGCGGGGGGAGGATGCTGGGGAGAGGTGTTGGGGTAGGTGTGGGGGTGGGGTAGGGGTAGATGTGGGGGGTAGGTGTTGGGGAGAGGTGTTGGGGTAGGTGTGGGGTGGTGGTGGGGGTGGGGTGGTGGTGGGGTGGGTGGGGGTGGGGTGGGGGTAGGTGTGGGGTGGTGGTGGGGTGGGAGTGGTGGTAGGTATGGGGGGTAGGTGTTGGGGAGAGGTGTTGGGGTAGGTGTGGGGTGGTGGTGGGGGTGGGGTGGGGGTGGGGTGGGGATAGGTGTGGGGTGGTGGTGGGGTGGGAGTGGTGGTGGTGGTAGGTGTGGGGGTAAGTGTGGGGTGGTGGTGGTTCTGGTAGGTGTGGGGTGGGGATAGGTGTGGGGTGGGGGTGGGGGTGGGGGTGGTGGTGGTCGTGGGGTGGTGGTAGGTGTGGGGTGGTGGTGGTAGGTGTGGGGGGGGTAGGTGTGGGGGGTAGGTGTGGGGTGGTGGTGGTAGGTGTGGGGGGGGGTAGGTGTGGGGGGTAGGTGTGGGGTGGTGGTGGTGGTGGTGGTGGGGCGAGAGTCCGCAACTGATTTGGAAGAATGACACTAAAGTGTGTTTGGGAGTGCGTGGCATTATCGTCGTCCTTGGCTCGCCATCGAACAACAGCAGCACCAAGAGCATCGCTCGGAATCTTCAGATGCGCGCTTCTGTGGCCGTCTGGAACGCTCTCCCTTCCGATGTTGGGAAGCTACTGGAGCGATGTACTTTAAATCATCATCATCTAGATTAACACAACCTTATTTCTTTAGAGCTACTTTTTGTGTGTTTAGCTTGTTGTGCTTCCCCCCCCGCCTCCGACTGCGTACGGTGCGTATTTGTTTACCTCGTACGTGTGTACATTTGTGTGTATGTCTGTATCCTTACGTGTGTGTATGCATGTTTTTGTGGGTGCTCACTCACAGCACTTTCCCAAACAGTCTGTTAAGGCTATATGGGGGATCTTTGTCTCTATATGTGGGGAGCGGTGGTGCAGTGGTCTGCACGCTGTGCAATGATCCCGGAAACCCGAGTTCGATTCCCGCTCACGGCCAACAACGGTGACGATTACGCTGTGTATCAAGTTTTCAATTTATTTTTGTTCCTGGGTAGTAAGTGCTATTTCCTAATTTCTCAATGAAAATAGGTAAATTTCAAAATATCACTGTCCTGGTAACAAAAGCAAAGTTTGTGGGGAGTAATAGCCATTTTTTATACTTTTGTAGATTCATGAAATTCGCGGTGCGCACCGTTAACCGAGGGCAACTTAGAGCAAACGGGTGCACATGTGCGCGTGATGTTTGCACGAACAAACCGCCGGTTGTAAGGGGTGTCGCGGGTGCAAACGGGGTCGACCGGAGGTGTTGCCAGGGAGACGGGAGATAAGGGTGGATTGATGGGCCAACAGGCGCCAGCCTGGCGAGAGCTTAAAGAGACGCACGAGAGGTCTCGGATAATTGGCAGGGGGATATAAGGGCGTGTGCGTGAGCGGAGCGGGGAGTTGTTGCCGGGAACGAAGAGTGAAGACGTCTCGCTGCTCTAGCCGTCAACGGGACCTCAACCCTCACGCTGTCGCCGGGCGGGTGTTGGCTGATCCCCCTGCCCGGGACAGACGGGTGAGCGGGTCTGAGGGAGCGTAGGTGAGGGAAGCGGTGGAGATGCAGAGTTGCTGTGTATGAAGACACTGTGTGTGGAGACACTGAGTGTGTAGACGCTGTGTGAGAGACGCTGAGTGTGGAGACGCTGAGTGTGGAGACGCTGTGTGTGAAGACGCTGAGTGTGGAGACGCTGTGTGTGGAGACGCTGAGTGTGAAGACGCTGTATGCGGAGATGCTGTGTGTAGAGACGCTGTATGCGGAGATGCTGTGTGTAGAGACGCTGAGTGTGAAGACGCTGTGTGTGGAGACGCTGAGTGTGAAGACGCTGTGTACGGAGACGCTGTGTGTGAAGACGCTGTGTGTGAAGACGCTGTGTGCGGAGACGCTGAGTGTGAAGACGCTGTGTGTGGAGACGCTGAGTGTGAAGACGCTGTGTACGGAGACGCTGTGTGCCGAGACGCTGTGTACGAAGTTGCTGAGAGCAGAGCTGCTGAGCGCAGGATAAGGGAGGCAAAAGTTAGATAATAGTAGGGAGAAGTTAACCATAAGTGACTGTACAGATAGTAATAGGAGTGCCTACAACTGGGGCAAGAATAGGTGAATGAAGTGTAAGCAGGTGACTTGTTACAACGTGTCGGTGTGAGTAATTTTTGAAGACACTATACTTTTTAGGCATAAGCAATTACAAATAACACTTACTACTCAGGAACAAAAATTGTGTTACATAGTGTTATCTGAATCGGTCCTGAGCATCACCTAGGTCGACTCGGCCTCAAATGAGTACCTGGTGCGGTGTGTAAACATCGCCACTGGGGAGACAAAGGTGGGCGTGGTGTCGGCCACCCACCTCTCGTGTGCCGTGCCGGCCTTCATAGATGCTACTCGCTAACAGCACTTGCCCCTACAGTCTGTTAAGGCTACACAGGGGCTCTTTGTATCTCTGGGAATTTTTTTTATCCTTTCTGGCAATGAAACAGGAATTGTGTTAAGATGTTCAAACATCACAAATCGAGAACCTTTGCGAGGAATTAAGTTACTGCATTAACCTCACACATTACTT